AAAAAAAAATAAAAATTTCTTGAAAAACCAAAATCATATAAAAAAAAAAAAAAAAAAAAAAAAAAAAAAAAAAGAATATAACATATTGGCTTATAAAGACGCACTTGGCTGATGGCTTATTTAACGTGGCGTTCAGCTGCTCCGCATTACAACGTCTTTGCAAAGAAGGAGAGGAAACAAAAACAAAAAACATCAGAATGTAGTGCAAAACAAGAGGGGGCCCAATGAAAAACCACCAATAATTTTCAGGCCACTGCTGTCCGTCTGAACTCCTGAGGTTTGGAGGGGATGAAATCCATTCAGGGAGTGATGAAAAGAGCACATCCCGATCTCCGGCATCCCCCCCCCTCAGTCGTCGGCGACGATGGACAGAGAGCGCAGCTCATTGAGCTTGGCCTCGGTCTCCTTCTGCCTCTGCTCATCAGTCAGCCCGGCTTCGTCGATCTGCTCCGTTAACTGGCTGAAGATGTTGTACATTTCAGTGAAGTAGACCACCTGACGGGCAGAAAACACACAAGAAAAGATTGTGTCATGGCAGGGGAGAAGAAAAAAAAAAACAAAAAAACAAAAAAAAAACATAATCCCCATCTTTCCTCTGAAACAAATGTATTCAGGGGTCAATCCGCAGACCTTTGTTCACCGTTAATCTCACAGTCTGATCATGCTTTGACTCGCACGTCGGAAGCTGCCGGTCTCATACGTCTTCTCCTAATGAGGAGTGATTTGAAGAAGAGGGAGCCCGCAGAAATCAAACAACTCTCACAAAGCCCTCAAAAAGCCAGCACTTGAGTGGATAGTGACCCTGCTTTTCTCTCCCAATCTGAACAAGAGATGGAGTGTTCACTGAAAGCTTTCTTGACACTTCCCACCCCTGCTTCTTCCCCTTAGTGCATGAGTCAGGCTCCCTGGAGAGTTGCTTTGATGATTAATAGACTTTAATCACATTACAGGACTCCAAGAAGAGTAGGCAGAGAATAAAAGTACTGGGAAATGAAACCCCCTTGAAACCTACAAGCATATCTCAATATTTATTCAAACAGCAACGCAAACAATGCCACGCTCTTGAGGGGACGCGCGAGGCGTCCGTGGAACAGCATAGATTTTTCCGCTGCAGAATAAAACAACCCGACCGACCAAGATAACGAGACGGGGGGGGGGAAGCGGAGGGAGATTTACTTACTAAATCGAATTATTTGTTGACTCAGAAGTTTGTCAGAAGTATAATAAGGATTTCAAGCCAGAAGCAATAATGTCAGGTCTCTCCAACCACTTTGCACAAGCTCTTTTAAGTGCTCAGTCTGAAAGACATTGCCTGTTTACACCAATATGTGCCACCTAAACCACATGAGTGGGCTCTAAGTATTGGGTTACTGCTGTTTGTAGGGGTAAAACGGATACACTTTTTTCCCCCAAAAGTGACTTGTTGAAAGGGCCATCGGAAATGTCCAGAAGAACGGTGATGATAATGTACACCAGATCACTGTGCCCTCTGTGTCCAAAGCCACTATTTCACTGCTGGGAGTAAGCACGGCCACACACACCTGCAGCTACTTATGACACAAAGAGGAAAGCACAAAATTAACCAAAAATGCAACAGAGATGGGGGGAGTTGTATAGTTTATAGTGAATGAGAAAAATTTAAAATAGTGGGTCAGAAATTTGTCATCCTGCCATAAAAAGGAACCCAAAAGTCAGAAATATGACTGGGGTTGTTAATTTTGCTCTTAGCACTTTATTTCTACAGTTGGTTTCCTGATGGCTCCAATAAATGCTGTGTTCAGAAAATTGTTGAATACAATTACTGTCAACTATTTGGCAGCACAGCTTCCCTGCCTGATAGGTACGTTTTAGTGGGACTCCCACCTGCGTGCAGCTGTATGACAGATTTGTAGCCAAGGACGAATTACAAAATACCTTATATTGCCCTGCATGTCTCGGATGTTTCCCTGTTTTTATGTGCCTGATTCAACCGACTGCAGTTCAGCAAACTGCCTGTTCATCATCCGTCAATTGAAATCAGCTGGGCTGAAGCAAGGAAACACCTAAAACATGGAGGGCCATGTGCTGTGAGGACCAGGGTTGGGACAGCTCCTAAACTGTGCAGCTTTGGCTGCTGCTAATAAAGTTTTTAAAGGTTTCAAAACCACTAAACATACACTTTCTTCTAGTTTAACGTCCTCTTACTGAGACACCAGAGAAAGTAGAAGAGTGACCTCAGTTTTTTTTTTTTTTCTGGTCTTGTCCCAGCCGTGTAAATCACATAGTAGCACTCTTGTCGCTATACACTTCCAATCAGATGGCTGCAACAACGTTACTACGCTTTACTTGTGCTTGCAATAAAAACACGTTGTGCTGTTTAGAGAAAAATCCTCTAGCCAAAACCCTCTCAAGGAGCTGGAGACGAGCACCACCCAGCTCGGTTGGTAAGGTAACGCTGTTTAAAAGCTACAGCTGGTAAAGCATTGAGCAGCTGTGCCGACCAAATAACCTCGCAAACATGAGCCTGGTTTAAGAAAGCAGAATGACAATCAGTTATAATATTCTGCAATAGGAGAATTTACGTCAAAGCAACTGCTAAATCTAACAGGTGTTTAGACTAATTATTTTATTTTTTAACATAAGTCCAAGCGGCAAAATCAAAATGGCAGAATAAAATGTCATAGATAAATTAATTGGAATGGTTATTGTTATGAATAACATTTTTGTATTTTTTGGGTGAAGTCAGATTTGAATTATAATACCATTTTTAAAAAAATAAAAATCTAATTTTATTTCCCTTTTATTCATTAAATGTATAAAAACTAAGATCTTCAAGTTTCAGGCTCTAAATGCATCACCCAACAGGACATACTAAAAATTATTTTGATTTAAAGTAAAAATCAAACAAAAGATAATCCTAAAATTTCTATTTATTATGGAAAAAAATTATCTGAATTTAGTAAATGAGAATCCTCAGGTCAAACCATAAAACAATAAACAAGAAACCTGTATCAGCCTGAAGAGTTGATTTTTACTCAAGGTTATTGTCCTGTGAGAAGCTCATACCGGCCTGTGCCTCCTCTGAAAATCACTGGAAAAGACTTGATACAGTGAAGTTAATGTTCACAACAAAAGCAGCCTTTGTGCCTTTATCTGACACAGCAGGGAGGAAGAGAAGTGCATGGCTAAGGATCAAGTCCGCTTATCATCCTCTGGAGAGTGCTGTACTTCATAGCTGGAGTCACACACACACACACACACACACACACACACACACACACACACACACACACACACACACACACACACACATATATATGAACAACAGCAGGTAAATAAGCTTGAATTTAATCCCAGTCATTTGTATGTCTATTTCTGTTGGGCACAGTTTGATGTTACATTTGCAAGTTCAAAGTGCATCAGCAAACTCCTTAATTGACAATAAGTCACAGATAATCTAATCTGCTAATTAGGAGTGTGCCAGTGACTGTCCCAAAGAGGAAATGACATGGGCCAAGCAGGTCTGTGCCGGGTGGGTGGGGGAGGGGGGACGCGGCGGCGCTAACTTCAGACACTCAGCTGCTTAAAGACGAGCTCCAGGTCGGAGGAAGGCCTGCAGGACTGCAGCGGAGCCAGACAGACGAGGCCTTCCTCAAAGCAGTGTGGGCCGTCACTGGGGGATTAATCACATTAGGACCGCAGAGAGGGAGACAGACTGCCTGCGTTAAACACACCCTTCATCAGACACTTCATCCACTGTTAACAGCTCCCTGCTGACAGGGCGTGTCTGCAGCTGCGGGAGCCTTCATCACGCTGCGATTCTGGGGAAGTCTGCTAACCTGCGCCCGGATGAGAGCCTCGAAGCTGGGCTGGAAGTAGTCGATGCGGCTCTGGTAGAATTTGGGCATCTCGTCCAGCAGCTGCTTGTTCTTGGCCTCAAAGTCCTCCTTGACTGGTCGCAGCTCTTCTTTCGCCTGGAGTGTGGAAGAAAACAAAAAAAAAAAGAGAGAGAGAAAAGCACAAGTCACATATAGCCTGTTTTAAATGTAGAAAACTCAGGGTTCCTGCAACTTTTCTTATGTTTTCCAGACTCAAACTCCCAGAGTTTGAAGTCCTTTGTTGCTTGATTTCTTATTTTTAAATTTGAGTCAGGTTTATTAGTATAGCACATTTCAGCACATCATAAAAACATCATACAGTCATCAAACAAGCAATGAACATTACATCTTGTCAAATGCCATCATCAAGCAAACACACATCAAATATGTTGATCAATGTTTCGCTAACCAAGGGCAGCTCTAAACAGGTGGGTTTTTAGTTTTGACGTAAATGAACTCAGTGTTTCGGCTGTTTTGCCGTTTTCTGGAAGTTTGTTCCAGATTTGTGGTGCATAGAAGCTGAATGCTTCTTCTCCATGTTTGGTTCTGGCTCAGGGGATGCAGAGCAGAACCAGAACCAAAGAACCTGAGTGGTCTGGAAAGTTGTTACAACACCAACAGGTCTTTAATGTATTTTGGTGGTAAGCCATTCATTTTGATTTTATAAAAGAAAATGCTCACTGTGAATGAAAAGCAAATATTTCTAGAATACCCAGGTTTTATATATTGAGCCTGAAACACCAAACCTTTTTATAAAATGGATGGATGGGTAGAAGAATCACTGAATGAATGCATATCCAGATTGTTTATAAGCCCTTAAAATGGTACACCGTTATCATTTACTCTGTTAAGAAAATATATACAAGTTCCAGATAAACAAAACTAAAACCCACTCTGACACGAGTTAGATTTGAGTAAATCCATTACTCGAGCCACCATGTTTTTCTTATTGTTATGAAATATATTTGCCTAATTCCCACGGAGATGCAGTGCAAAAAAGGCTGTAATCACGACCACAGTGAGGAGGAGTGGGTAATGTGGGCAGACTTGGCTGTGAGTGGACTCCAGCACCACTGATCTCTGTGTGAATGTATTAGTGGGTAGTCTGCTGTAGGCATAGAGTTATGGAATACACAATGAATAATTGTGAGAGGGTGAGAATTTTTATTAAGGGGGATAGGGGGAAGTTGCAATAATCATACACTAACATATTGTTTATGTGCAAGCATTATGATAAGCACCTCTCGCCCCGGTTTTATTTCGCCGCATATGTTCGCTGAAATGGCCAACAAAACGTTGAGCGAGGATCGTTTCTTTAAGTGCGCACGGATTCAAAGGGCAGGGATGTTGGGCCTCTTCAAGGCTTTGTTCCCCTGACAGAGCTTTTCTCAGAGTGTGTGGGTGGCTCACCATGTGAGGATGTGTTAGAGGCAATAGCATAGGCAGCGCTGCAACATTATCTGTGAATGTGCACGCTTATGTAGTGGCCTCGCGGTGCGTGCATGTGTGTGTCTACAATTCTCAATTACGTGCCTGTAGATGTGCAGCAGTGCCTTTTTTTTTTTTTTTCAAAAAGGCACAACTTGAGAGAGCCTGGCAGCTTGCGTGGGTGAAAGAGTGCACATGTACTGTATGCATGTGCTAAACTACTTTATTCATATCCAGTCAGCATTTGTGTCTTTTTTTTTTTTTTTTACGCTTACGATGCTCCGTTCTCAGGACACATAAACAAACGAGAGCAGGTGAACCCTCCTCCTCATCCTGCTGCTGAAGTTAGAGCGAGACTTTTAGAGCGCCGACGTGTGTGGCAGTGCCAAACAAAATACCTGACAAAGTTTGACAATAGCTGGCCCCGTTTTCTCTTTCTCCTCGTACTTCTCCACTTTGGATTGCAGGCGCTTGTAGTCCTGGAGAGCCTGCTCCCGGCGCTTCACCGCCATGTTGAGGCTCGGGAAGACGCCGCTGTACCTGAAACGACAGACACATGAAGCAATACTCGAAGTAAAAACAATTCCCAGACTGTGATGGGGAAAAAAAGAAAAGATAGCTGAACTTACTGAAAACAGTGAAAGTGCACTGCATCATAAAAGCCGCTGTGATTTAATAAAATGGCTCTACTCAACATCTTATTGTAGAGGTGCTCTCCATCCCCCAGAGGACGGCTCAGCATTAAGCTTCCTCTCATCTATTATCTAATTACTATAGTTCAGGGTGGCATGAAACAATTCATTTTGTGACAATTATCATATTTCAAATGAAAATATATTCTTGCAACAAGAATCCTGGTCTTGTGCACTAAAAATAGGAAAACATTCATCTGTAACTTAGCAACAGGAGTCTGAGCTTCATCCTGGGACTTGTTGCACTGGTTTTGTGGCTGCTTTTAATGGGAGACGGGAATACCGTACACAAACATATTATCACGTATGATAATATTTTATGCAAAAATAAAAACTTAAAACATTTTGTTTGCATTTTCTTTACTTTAGGAGGTATAAATTGACCAGATTTAAGTGCAGTCTTAAATGACAACAAAGTGGAAAATGATTTTAAATTAGGGCAAATAAAACCTGAGCAATAAACAAAAACCAGAGAAAACAGTTTCCCAAAGCAGGCCTGGAGGATTACTCTTACAGGTGCTGATTACACATGAGTCAGAAGTAAAAACAGTCGTAATGAAAAATTTAGATAAACCTATTCTGAATGAGTCATTTAAAGCGCTTCATCAGCTGTGTAGGCACACTACTACGGTCGCTTTTTTAACGTCAGCCATTAGGTGTAGCGTTATTAGCTGCAAAATGTGTGGGCTCTGTGATTTACGTTGCTCTCCATGCCAACCCTTGCCCTGCTATGTGCGGCAGATCAGGGAACCACCGCGACCGTGCAAACGGATTGTGAAATCCTAGATTAGAGCTCTGTCTGGTGCTGCGCCTTAACGGAGGCTGCCTGGTTAAAAAGGGGGAAGGCGCTGAGGATCTCTTCCAGACAAGCAGGGATTGTTTCCGACAGGAAGTGAAGCAAGGAGTGGTCTAGTAGTGTTTGAGTGACATCACGCAGCCCAGCCCAGCCCCACAGCCCACGCTCTACCGCTATTTATAAAATCCCACTTTGGCCCAGTTTATGGCAGGGGTGGAAGCCGATCCTTGAGTCTACTATCTGCTCCAGCGTACACATACTTCAAGTGCCAGGGGATTATGTAACTGGCCTCAAGGCACGAGTGCTTTCCAACGTAGTTCTTGTGGTTGATGACAACGCAGCAGCACACCAACTTCTCCATGACACGAAGGCTAATAGAATATCCCCCCAGCGCAGCTCACCTGGTGCCCGTTTCTTCTGCCAAACATAAACGGGCTGAGGCTTGCAGCCTAGGATGGACAGTGCTGCTGTCAGCACTCAGAAACCTCACATCACTACTGCCTAAGTCACCATAAATGAGAAAAAAAAAATGTAATTATAAGCGGATGATCACTCATCCATTCCCCTTCTTCCTATCCCACATGCTAATACCAAAGTGTTTACAGAGACCAGGGTGTTCAACCTGGGGTTCTAGAGCTAAAGATGGTTCTTTAGGCCCTCTTAATAGTTTATGGGTGTGTCTCAATAAATTAGGGCATTAATTCACTTCAATAAGTCAATTCAAAAAGTAATATGGGGGAGAATGCTGACTTGACAACTGTCCAGCATCGATTAATGTGCTAGAGAAGCAGGGTAGGACACAAAAAGTCACCGCTAAAGAAGAGGACCATTCACAAAGGGCTGTATTGAGGTGCAATACAGCATGGAAAAGTTGATTGGACAGAAACAATGCAGCAGAAAAAAACAGAGAGAAACACAGGCTGGAGAAGATTGTGGAGAAAAGAAACAGAAATAAAACAAAGAAACTCTTGGCAAAGAAACCCATAAGTAATGAATCAGCACTTTACTTTATAAACTGAATTACAAAAACTTTTTTGGCGGTATATATATATATTTATATATATATATACATATATATATATTTATTTATTTATTTTTTATTTTTTTCCCCACAATTGAGGAAATGTCTATTCAAAGCAATTTTAATTTTCTTTTGGTAAAGTCTTTTATGATTATATTATTTGTATAACCTTCAAAAATTATGTTTCTTTTAACCATAAAACAAGCTAATTTGATATATAGCGTTTCCCTCGATGTCCCTGTCTTGGCCGAGCAGCTACTGGTCAAGCAGGCAACGTCTAAGTTGCATTCTTTATCCAGGGCTGTCGGGCTGGATGCTGCCAAGGGCACACCACGATGCATGTGACAGGTCAGGCTGTGGTGAACAGGCTGAATGGAAATAGCTTATAGAGCAGAGTGTGTTTATGAGCAGCTGCCAATCCACAGGCAGGCCAGTCTGAAGCGTCAGCCAAGCCCAAGTCTGGTCTAGACTCCCTCAGTCTGGAAGGCCGGGTGTCCCTGTTGACTTTCACCATCGCATAACTCGACTCTACTAACGTAGAGAAAAGTCACAGAAGTCGGCTGAAAATATATAATAGCTGCTTTCTATGTCTGTCACTGGGCAGAATATGATATAACACAGTTGAGAGCAATAAACCATGGAGAGGTGTCCACAGCCCTCAAAATTAAAAATAGGTTGACTTCGCTCTCGCTCCTATGATTTAGTTGCTTGTTTCATTGATACATTTTATTTTCAGAAAGAAAAACCTTTGCAAAAAGAGAACAAAGACTTCTGGCACTAGAAATGTCCTTATTCATGAAAAATGCAGCATTTTTCATGAATGCTGAATGTATGAAAAATGCAAAGTTTGCTGTTTAATTAACAAAAATAAAGGCTACATTAAAAAAGGATTCCTTGAAACATTATTGTCCATATGTTGAGGAAATTACAACATTGTGAAAGTGTTTGACCCCTTAAATAATTCTCATGTTTCTTTTTGTCATATTTACATGTTTTAGATCACCATCAAACAAAACATTGGATAAAGACGACCTAAATACAAAATTCTGAATTTTCAATTAAAAACTTCTTTATTTAAGGGGGAAAAAAAGCTATCCAAACTGTTCTCTGGAAAAAGGTACATCAAGAATGAAATCTGATTGAACTACATTTTTTTTTAGAAAACTGAGCTGGGCTTCATAAAATAAACTCTGGCCTGGTTGTTACCTGGCAAGAATACATTTAAATATAATCTTCCTGAAAGATTTCAAAAAGCATCAGATCATCTGGAAAAATGTTACAAAGCCCTTTCTGAGATTTAAGAATGCCAGAAAGTGAGAGTGATAGTCCGCAACTGGAGAAAACATTTAAGAAAGAAGAAATCTGTAAAACACTACACCTTTTCAACAAAACAGTATTTACACAACGCAAAGTGCTTCACATAATAGAGATTCATTTTCCATCCAGAAGTATCTAAACAAATCAATCCAAACATGTGGACAGATTTTAAGTCATTACATACATAATTTTATCCCAGTTACAATGCAATACTCAAATTTAGTTTATAATACCAACAGGGAAAAAAGTTTATTCATCAGAGGATAATTAGCCGATTTCATTAAGTCACTGACATCGAGCCGTGAAACAATCTCTCATAGTGTGCAAGCATGCAGCGACAGTGGACAGGAACCCTTTTAGGACAACTTCAGCTGTGGTGGCTCTTTTAGTGGCTTCATTTAAAAGAACAACACAGCTAACAGATAAGATCTGAACCCAGTGGTGAAATCTGCTAAGATTTCTAACAGATCTACACATCTATTTCTATAAGCTATAGATCTAGAAATATTGAATTAAAGCTATAAAAGCTAAAATGGAGAATCAAAAGCACCATAAGTGGTTCTAGACTCAAATATCTGCTTTGCTGATTCTCACATTTTGTTCACTTGAACTTAGAACATTCACAAAAAGCATTGTTCAGTGATGTTCTTCATAAATAAGGAAATTATAAACTTTAACAGTCATAAAAATTCAACAAGTCCAGCCAGAATTGAATCTCTGCCCCTCAGCTGTCAGGCAAGGGCCATGAAGTCCCTTTGGCTTTAGCCCTTGGACCTGCATCAGGAGCGCTCTTCCTCTGATAGAGACGGGTGGTGCAGGGTTTTTTTTTTTTTTTTTTTTTTTGCTCAGTCCAAGCTCAACCCAGGTCAAAGGTCTCAAAACAGGCCTGACTTCTGTCTCGCCCAAAACAACAACAGAGCAGAAAGGCTACGTTAGGGAGCCCTAGATAACACAAATGCCTCCATGCCCACGCACTCCCCCTCCCCCCCACATAAACACAGTGATGTCACTTAGTGACCCCACTGAGTGGATGAAACTCACAAGCAGCTCCGAAGGAAAGCTGATGGTGGAGGAGGGCTGTTTTTAAATTTGTTTTCTGTGCACTTCACCAGACTAAAGGATAAAGGATGGATGCCAAAAGCTTAAATAGCAGTTACAGAAGGACAATGTTGAGTAAACGCATGCACGCACACACGCACACACCCACACACACACACACACTCGTGCACACACACGCAACTAAGTGAGAGTCTTCCATTAATTTTACAATCGTCCTTTCAGAATTTTGCCAGTTGTACTTAGAATGCCACAAGATCACAAGCAAGAATATTTAGAGACAAGTAAACAAAAAAATTAATGAAGCACTAATGGAATCCTAATGGAAGCTTTAACGCACAACAAGGTTTGTGTCTTAGCTTCTTCTATGGACAACACCATTATAAATTAATGAGTGGAAATGCTGTCTTTTAGGGAGGCTAAAAATTAAAACGGGGAGGTCAGCTCAGCTTGGCACTGAAACTAAAACTTGCTTCCACTGCTCTATTTTAGAATCATGTTAAAGCACAAGTTGCTCAGCACCCCCACCCTCGAAAATCTGGGCTGCTGTCTGTGTGCGTGTGTGTGAGAGAGTGTGTGCTGTCCTGAGACAGTTCTCTTCCTCAACCAATCCACGGCTCTGGGCCCAGGAAGCTGGGCCTGTGCCATATTCTGAGCCTACCCACACGTCCGCCTGCCGCCCACCAGGAAGAGGAAATTAGAACCATTCCATCCTGTCATTGCTCCGCCGCCGGAGCACATGAGGGAGAGAGGGCTAAACGCACACTGGCACCGACCTAACCCCGTCATGTTTTCACAGCGCGTTCACTTCATATAGGTGATTCCCCTCTCCCCCCACCTTGCCCCTCACTCTCAAAATGACAGCTTTATGGGGGGGGGGGTGAGAAAGGTCAGCAAAAAAATTGCTGTAGAAAGATTCTGCTTTTGTCCTCTTAGCACATGTTTAATATTATGGGAGGAGCAAACAGGAGGAAGCGATTCCTTAACTAGCATGCCGGAAGTTGGGTGGGATAGCCCAGCCACTCCTTCCAGTAACTTTGCTTTGCATTTGTGTGTGCGTGCACATGTGTGAAAGTAAGCAGAGGGACCTTTATGAGATGGAATAGCACTCACGGCATCTCAAATGGGGGCGAATATTAGGAATGGGAACCAAATAAACTTTCTTCCAGACACATTCTGACCACAGCAGCTCTGCTCATTTTTACAATCTGTATAGTTAGACTGAAGGCCTTCCTGTGATATTGCATAACAGCGTTAATTTCAATCCTGGAAGAATAGGGTTTAGACAATAACAATGTTTATGGCACTCATCTTAAATGGCCCACAGTGGTGAATACGTTATGAAAAATAAGCCACAAAATGAAACCTGACCTCTCTAATAATGCTTTTAAAAACTTTTTTTTAACAACATCTTGTAAAACAATCATTTTGTTCAGCCACTCAAACCAAATGTTACACAAATTCCCTTTTTTGGTCCTGAGCTAGAAAATTAAAACCTGAAAGCACTTACACAAGAAACAAAATCAAATAGAAAAATTAAGAGTAACCCTTACTTTTTTAGAGGGTCTATGACGGTCTTCTGGATCTGGTTGACCTGGAATAAAAAGGACACTGTTAAGATTAAACACACCAAAGGAGAAAATATAATTGTCGACTTGCATTATGTCAGAAGATATTTTTTATGTAAAAACTCCAGACTCGCATTTCCAAAGTTGTCTATATTTTTTAACTCATTTTAAAGGTGTGAGTATAAAAATTATATACGACAGATGAATGGATAGTGTAAAAGTTGGTAAACAGATGATTGAAAAATGGACTTATGAGCAGGAACTTGATGGATAACATAATAGATGGACGAATTGATGAATGGAGGGGGTACAGATGGGCAGATGATGTGTAAACACTACGAAAGCATGAATGAATGGACGAATGGTCAAAAAGATGAAAATAAATGAATCCCAGAAAGCCATCTTTCTCTATACCATACATTTCCCTGTATCTCTCCAGATCTAGAAAATACTTAAACTAAATTTCAGACTTTTAAGGCCGCATAAAAACCCTGAACCAAAGACCCAAACAGCTTCTACATCTTTTTTCTAATTAGTGGCAAAGTAACAATACAACACAAACACCAATAATTATGTATAGCGCAAAATGAGCAAACAGAGAAAAAAAAGGGAAAAAAGGGGAGGAGGGCTGGCAAAGAAACTTTCATGACGTTGACTCTTTTTATTGTACGCAAGCCCCGAGGAGAAATCCCTGAATATTCATCGAGTCTGCGATACAAAAGGATGGAACTGTCAGGGGACGGACATGAAAGCAAAGCCCAACTGATTTGAAATCCTGTGCAGGGTGGGCTGCCTTACAAGATGAAAGTTCTTAACAAACAAACATTTTAACAATAACAGTTTATATTTTCAAGCATTCTCCTTCTGGTTGTCAGAACCGACAGGGGAGGGAAGGAGAGGTTGGGGGTGTTAAATGGAAGTAAACGAATAACACATTATGAGGCCTCCGAGCTGAAAACCCAAGTCCCATCAACAGAAGTTGGTGCGCAATTAATGAAGTTTTAGCGTCATTTACATTGCAGAGATAAAACGACTACAAGAACAGCCAGCGTAACGGCGCAGTGCCAGCAAGACAATCAACTCAAGTGATGAGCTTGCTGTTGAGAGTGAAGCGGGGTCTAAAGGGAGAAATGCGGAACGACAGCTGCATGAGAACAATGAGCCGCTACAGTAATCATATGTTCGCTTTCTATTGGCAGGACAGTCAATCATCACACAGCAGCAAGGAAGCAAGATCAGAGCTGCGCTTTGTGAAAGTGCCCTGACCATCTCTGAAAAAACACAACACTCACTGCTTCAGTGAGTGTTGTGCACATTTCCAACTACAAAATGGTTGATGGTGGTTTGAGGGAAAACAGAGAACCAATAACAAATAAGTACATGGGAATTCACATTTTCTTTGTTTTACATATTCACATCCCCAGCTCCATCCCCTCCCCTCCTCGACTTGAGCTGCACTGCCGCTTTTAAGGTGAGAACACGCAGTAAGGCGGGAGAATAACAGCAACAGATTTGCTTAAGCATGTTGATGCCCTCTACCCTCTGCCCCTTCCCACAGTGATGGGGGGAGGGTGGGGAGCAGAGCAATTCCTTGGAGGCCCCACAAAGCCTGAGGCCTGATGCTCAAGCAGTAGTCTCCATCAGTGAGTCACGGGGCAGAGGCCATCCCGGCACACAGGCCTCCCAAAAATACACACAGATCGCTGAGGAAATCAATATCCCTCCAAACGGAGCATCCTCCACCACGCTGCCGCCATCTACGCCGGGGCTCGGCTTCGGTAGCAGTGCGCCGCCGGGGCTGAGCGCCCTCCTCAGCCCCAGAAATAAACACACAGACCTGGGCCACTGCTGCCTTCATTATCGCTGCACGTTTTATCTGCTGGCTTTCTCACTCGCGGGCCCTGCGGCGCAACATCTCGTCTCAACGCGGAGAAGAGCAAAGGGTGGATTGCTTTTGTGTCTGTTTTGCTTGAGCAACAAGGTTTGCCGTTTGTGCCGTCAGAACCAACCGCCAGCTTGAAGGGAGAAGTCAGAGTGGTGTTCTGGAGAGCGGCGCTGGATTATAAACACCTTGCAAACCTAGAGGTGATGCACACTCTTGGACTGACCAGAAAGTTCTCACAATCACTATTTTGCCTTTAGCTCAGTTCGAGCCAATATTTAAAAGCGTAGACGAGCAGTTTGGGTCCAAATCTGGAACAGAGTCCTAATAGATTTTCACTTGTTGAGACTCAAAGAGCAAAAAAGACAATAACTCAACTGTGTCATCAATGTAAAGTCCTGATGCTGAAACTGCTTTTCACTGTGTGTTTTGATAACATGAAAAAAAATTAAGTGAGCATCAGTTTGCAGTTTGTATTTTCAAATTAATGTTAGAAGAAATGCAGAAAAAAAACATACCCTTCCCCGTATTTTAGTTGAAAAAAAAAAAATAAAAAATAAGCTTTGTGTTTTGAACACGGTCCAAGCAAAAGCAATCTCCAGGGTTCTCTACCAAGTCGAGTCCTGGGACATCCGCACCCCAGATCCCAAACCGCACCGTCCAACCCACGTTTCACTTTGTCTAGTCACTCAAAATGGCTCCAGTAAAATTTGATGAAGTGTGACTATGGGCTGTCTGAAAAATTGGTATGGTAAAGCTGAAGCAGCAACTTTGGGGACAAAAGTGACAGTCTCAGAATAATAGCCTCTTGCTTGTGGCCAAGCTTAATTTCTACAAATTTTATATTCGGGGGGATAAAACAACTTCCGCAGTAACACTGAAGACACTTTCTATTTATTTGGACCCAGACAAATAACAAAAAAAATCCTGACATTTTACCAAAAACATTGGATTACATCCTAAAGTTAAATCACATTACTTAACTTTGTGATGCAATTCCTGGTTACGGCAGGTTTCAGTAGACTTAAAAATAAATAAGATTTTTAAAATTTAAATTTAAGGCCCATATGAAATTATTTAACTTAAATAATTTATTTAACTTCCCTGTCTTAAGAAAAATAAATAGAACTCTGTCAACAAATAACCGATGAAAGATGGTATTGGATAACATAACAAGAGCGATGTTGCACAACAAATAACTATAAGGCAGCTTCGTTGGCTGGTTCACACAGAGGATTCAACGTGTGCTGATAAATCCCTTCCGACAATGTTGTTGTTGCTCTACATCTGTTAGATTTATCAAAATAAAACCACACAACCCATTTCATGTAAAAATCCAGACAGCACTTTTTACACAAACAGGTTTGGTTTAGATCAGTGAACTCAAGCAATAAGATGCTTTTAAATGTTCGAAGAGACAAACGGAGGTGAGGGAGCCCTTGCTGATATTGATTTAATATTTCCTTTTTTTATTTTATGTGCTTTAGTGTATTTTATAGAGTTTTACAAATCAGTTTTATCCTAAATTTGAGCTAATCCTGCCAAATACAGTGTGGTTTTACTCTTTTGATGACGCATTACTTTTTTTTACTCTCAGTTGTGTCTAATCCCTGCTGCACAGCAACTGGTTGCATAACAGTTTTTTTTGTAGCACTTTGTTTAAAGTGCTACAAAAATGAAGTTGACATTTGTAAGGCATTTTTAACCAAAAGTATTAAATACATACATTTTTAAGACTTTTAAGGTCAAGAGCAAACTCTGAAAAAGTGTCTGCTTTGCTGTACTGATTTGTTTCCCTCCAATATGTTATCACTGTTTTTTTTTTCCAGAAGCAAAACGGAAAAAGACAAACACCAAAAATATACCACGCCCTCAAAAGCAAATATGTACATTTCCAGGTGACATATGGGTCTATGGTTCTTGTAATATTACGTGATGGTTTCTAGCAAGAGTTATATTATCTACTATTTGCAAAGATAATTATTTTCTCCCTGTGGTTAACCATTGCAGTATGAAATCATTCTGGCTGACAGTAAAATATGGAAGCAAAAGGAAATATTTTAAGATAACAAATGTGAAAAGCCCTGAACACCTTCTGGCTGGGCAATGAGTCAAGAAACAAAGCTTAAAAAAATAAAAATAAAAATACATACCTTTCCATGATCTCCCCTTCTCTGCCTTTTATTGTTTGCTGTTTAAGTGTCTACCCTTCAGAGAGAACTGCCTTAAGGATGCACACATGCACTGCTACAATGATTCACATTATAAGTACCTGTGGCAATGATTATAATCACAAACTGGAGAATGCCGGGCAAATATAAAGAAGAGGTCAATGGAAATAAAACTGTGGAAGGGCAACCAAGACTACTCTCTGCAGTGGAAAGTTATCTATCAATCTCAGATTAGCTGTGAAGAAACTATGGAAAACGGTGAGAACACACATCAAATATATTTTCCAGATCTGCAAATTCTGTAAATATAGGGCTATAAATTTGTATTAAGATTATTGCTTAAAACTAATGAAAACTCAAAATTCAGTTTCTCAGAAAACTTGAATATTATACAAGACCTATAAAATGTTTCAAATCAGAGATATTGTGGTATAAACTGCAAATATGATGTTCACAAACAGCGATGGTCGACAGTCACTTCTCTTGACCCTTTGGGGTTTAATATTTGCGTTTAATATTTGCGTCAAAGAAGTTAAGTTGTTAGCCTGTAACCATGGCTATTCAAGCCTAAAAACACCAACTTAATGGACAACATGTTGCAGCAAGCACAGACGTCCTCAACGCTGATGTCAGCGTTCACAGTCAGCATTTCTAAAGAAGTATTTAATTTTTTAAAAGAATTTCCATGAATGATCATGTGTTCCAAAAACACTTGAAAACTGAATGGGTGGGATAGCTCTGTGCACCCATCTGATGATTGCATAACCTAAATAGTAGATTGCACATTTTGCCAACAATTTTTGATGAAAATGCAATCAATTAATTATAGACCCTGTAATTAACTAGATCATAATTTTAATCGAGTCCCACCATTATTTTTAATTGATGACATATAAATAGGAAGAAGATACGAAGTAACAATATAGGCAGTGAATAACTCCTATGGGTTTTGTAGCAGGTTTTCTTCCCTAGACAAAGCCCCACCATTGTTGTTGAGTTATTTTGGACACCGGTGAGTCACAAACATCAGTCTCACAGCTGATAACCAACACCTTGAGCTTTTAAAGCACAATACGATAGATTCTTTTCACAAAACACAAAAGGAGGAAACACAGAGAAATAGTTTTTAGCCCACGGGCTACACAATATAGATAAATATAAAAACATCCAAATTTAACAGAATGCTGTCCAGTTTTCGATGCATGTCTAACAAAAATACTACACCCAATAAAACTGTCATTTTAATAGCGAATGCCAAGACAAAGCCGACAAAGAATGTAAAAAAGGGAAATTTAGCAGGAATGAATCTCACCTTTTCCTGGTTAAATGCATCCATCCTTTTCATGGCTGTGTCTAAAGCAGTCATGGAGTCGAGGAAGGCCTGGTCCTGCTCACACAGTGGGTTGCTCAGCAGATCTGCAGAGATCTTCACTGCTGCTTTAGACATGGCTGACAGCCATACATGCACAAGACAGAGAACACTGTTAAAACATTGCCAAATAACTGTGTCAAAAAGGCTTTAAGCGTTTTTTTCAGTGTATGAATCCTGTATGTGGGAGGGTATCTAAAGGCTTCAGTGAAAGCAAAAGAAAGATGGCAACAATGCTGCCCCCCATTGTAAAAATAAAAAATAAAAAAATCAGAGGTTGGCAGGGCTGCCTGCCGTTTTGAATATTCACCAGTTCACCAAGAATCTTTGCCATGTTTCTTCACAGCAAAATTTACTGTTAATCTGCACACATGGTACTTTGTTAAGACACAGAGCACATTTCAGATTAGGGCTTCTTTTAGGGTTTTTCTCTTTTCTACCAAAGAGGCTCGCTCCAGTGCTAAAAACCAGGACTGTTTAGTCAGTTCTTTACTGGTTACATAAAAATAACCAGTTTGATTTCCCGGAGCCAAAGAACCAGCATGGAGCCAGATTACCACATCACTAAAAATGTCTCTTGGACTAAATGTTTCATCCTCCCACCGTCATTATTTTCAGTTTTTGGAGAAAATCAAAGTGCAGGGAGAGAGTTTACAAAAACAAATCCCATTTCATTATATCTGCAAACCGGTCTCCTACTATCTCCATTTTAATTGATTAGGACAGCTTTTTACAACATGCAGTGTGTCATTGTTTATTAATCTCAATGTCTGATTTAAGCGATAAATCTGGATGTGTTGATAATTTCTGGTGATAATGAAAGACCAATAGCGTTTAAGAACTGATACTTAAGTTACTGTGCATGGGTTTGATGGAAAATATCTGCGATATCAGCAATGCGACATCAGCGATGCGATATGCAGGGATGCGATGCATAGGCCTACATGGTGGTGATATCAAAATAGTGGGGAGATAAAGTGATAGTGAGCTTATGTTATCCACTGCTAATCCAACTTTTTAAATAAACTTAACTTTAGTGAAACAAAGAGTTAAGCATTGCATTTGTAATGTTTTCATTGGTTGATTGTCTCCATGAGGCCATCTACGGCTGCTGAGAAAAGCGTTTTTTCCTTCTGGCTCGGAAGTGGAGAAGAAAATACAAATAAAACTGGTTTGGTGGCTTTTTGGTGCTGTTATGATAAATGTGCACAGGGGTTACAAGGTGAAAAGAAGGCCTGCACTGAAACTAGCTTTATGCTTGTTGCATTTTGCCCTGGAGACGATTATAATAACTGCTGTCCCATTTTTGAATAATCATTCACTGGGTTGTTTTAATTGAGATTATAGAAGAGTCAATTCAAAAGATGGTCTGAGGAGAACTTGGGTAAATTATTAGTATTTTTTATAGATATATATATATATAAAATGTCAGAATGGAAAAAAAATGAAACAGCTCACACAAGGTGGTTGATGTAAACACTTTTCTGTTAAAACTTAGTCATAGCCACGCAGCTGTCACTGCCCTGTGATTTTCCCTTCTAGCTGGGTGGCCAGGTCTCCATTTTGGCAATCCTCCATGTTTATTTACCCATCTCTGTACTGAGTCACTTGCTCCACGGGCAGACTCAGACAAAACCGCCTAGGACTGGAGTTGGCAATGGTAGTCCGAGTTCACAGAGGTTGGTGAATGCGACAAGAACTACTGGCTGCAGACCAGGTCTTGACCAGAGTTTGAGTCTGTCCATGGACAATTAAGTAGTAGGATTCACTGGAATAAACAGGGCGTTTACAAAAATATTCATGCCAGATCAAACTTACTATCACAAACTTCAATGTATTTTACTGAAGTTATGAGGACACACAAGAAGAGCATTAATCAGAGCAACCATTGAAGTTTGAGGATGCGATGTGACAAAATGTGAACATATGAGTGCTATGAGTACTTCTGAAACTCAATTTACCATTGCAGCTTTACTAATCCTTTGTAATTTCAAAATGTAACCCTAACATTTCCCCCTGATCATATATGTGTGAACAAAGCTGAGACTATCGCTACCTTAAAGGAAAGGATGGCTAACATAACCAACAGTCATCTGTTTATTACAGTGCTGACATTCAGGGCAGGTCTGGTTGTTTGCTGGGTTAAAAGTTGGTGGAGATGGGACCTAAGCAGCACATGGAATCCATTAACAATAATGAGGCCCTGACAGCTATGACACTTTGATGATGCAAACATCCATATTCCAGAGCACAAAGGAGAGGAAATGAAGGAGGTTCTTGCTCCTCTATCCGTTCCTGCTCTGCCGCCCCCACAACCGACTTCTTACCACAGGCCATTTCTACTGCTACTTCACAAACACACAAATCCAAAACCAAAAAAAAATAGCAAATACATGTTGAGTAAACATGGTTGCTGTTGCAGACAAGTGCAAAAACAAATGATTGCAAAGACGATATACAAATCAAAGCCAAAACTGAGCAGTGCACTAAATGTAAGATGAAATACAATGGCAACAAGATTGTAGAAGAGTTTGAAAAGGAAGATTTAGACAGAAGCACCTTTTGTTTTATTTGTCACGTCGTTAGCACACCACAGGAAAAAAAAAAAACAAGAAAAAAAAAAAAACACTTGCATGTTACGATCCTGGTAAAACCTGCTAAGCAACATCCAGTACGTTGGGAAACAAGTGGATGGATCTGAATGGAAAACTCCAATGATAAGACAAGTATTTTACCAGAACACACCTAAATCAGCCTCTGTGCTTTTCTTCATGTCTTTGTGAAGCTTCTTTGTCTGATCCTCAAGCCTGTTGGACAAGAAGAACATTTATCAGATAACTCCTCATCTACTGCAATAAAAAATTATATCTGGGACCAAGTGTGCAGGAAAAAAAATCTATGTAGAAAATAAGTTCTTTTTCACTTGTTCATGTATAAATCAAAACAGATGAAACATAGAAAATGAAACTAATTTAAAACAAAATATAGTTCAAGAAAAAAAATTTAACATTTCATTGCCTCCACATAAAATCTGTTGGCTAATTACCAGTACTGGGAATCTTTTTAGCACTGTAAACTACATTTCTGCTCTAAAACATTAACATCTTCAATCATTCCACTCCACATATTACACTGATGCTGTTAAAAAAGGCAATTACCAGACTAGTGAGTATGAAAACACATGCCATTCATTATATCAATTAAGGCAAAAAGGGGGTTTAGGATCTCCCAAGAGACAGCTATATCACATCACTTCTCTTGATTTGACAAAAAATGCAATGATGTCGGGGCTCACTTCCATCTATTTATAGGACTATATCATAAAAATGAAGAACACCATAACTGCAAGCCTAAAATGTTGGATTTATGGTGTAAGAATATGAGAAAAAATGCAAATCTTGAAAATGGAGGAAATAATTTTAGAGCTTCAAATATCCAGCAGCTGATAGATAATTCCATAGAAAGGTAAATCGACACATTAGCAGGTGCTTAATATAGTCATAAATTATTTTAAAAAAACTTATAAGATCATTATAATTTGTTAATTATTTATTTTCAGTGTTGTGTGAAGGTATTTGACTGATTATAGATTTCTTCTGTACTTGCTTCGTTGTCACACTTAAGTTCTTTCAGGTCATCATCAAGTTTTCATGTCAGAGAAAGATAACCTTACCAAACAGAAGAGACTATGTTAAACAATGAATTCAATTACAAATTTTAAAAAAGCAAACGGCTCCAGCCCTGTGTGAAAATTTAACAGGGATTAACCACCTGTTGAGGACATCTGAATGTACAACCAAGCAGCATTAAAACAAGAAACCATGAGTAATCTTTCCAAACAGCCAATATATTACAAGTATTTTGAGTTCCACCTGCTACTGACAATGCAATAAACGTTAAGAAATATTGCCTTCATCATATATCTGTTTAAATGCAACAACTATAAGCACCCAACAATATTAAAGGCAAAGAAGAAAAACAGAAAAATCTAATCTAATAAAAGTTATTTATTCTTTAAACTGGAAACAGAGCAACTTGAGGTCAGAAATCCAAAAGGCACATTTTGACTATGAATTCTTGAAATTAATGTCACAAGATCTTTATTCTATACCCCAATAGCGTTTACGATCCGACGTCAAATTCAAATCACTTCCAACTAAAAGAAATTTTGTACTACTACTTTTGCTCCACTTAAAATGTGAAAATAATCCACAATCCTGGTGAGATGTGATCACGTTAATCTGCATTTCAGAACATAAACGCTAAAAACTATTCTTAGTTTACCTGTTAAAAGTCTGAAAATGCCTTACTGAGAGTGTTACCTTCTTTTGTGTGCATTTACCCTGAAAGCAAAAGTCCTTGGCTCCTTTAATTAAAGCTTTTCACTAAGGTTGGCAGATTTTATCTTTGTACTTGAATGAAACCTCTGTAACCTGTCTGTGTGATATTCAGCAGGGATTGGATGGGTTTAAATGCTGTTTGCAAATAAAAATGCAGGATATCGCTAATGAAAATTAGCAGGGAATATGAACTCCAGTTAGAAAAAACCAGGAGATTAAATGCTGTGGACATTCAACCAGTTAAACATAATTAGCACCATCCCACCACAAGGCTTCACTTTAGCTAAGAGTTCATCCGAAAAGTGCTGCCTTCCTTTTAGGGTCGTTTTGGGGATGTATTTCTTTTGGTCAGGTTCCTACAGTGGGAATGTAGCCAGGAGAAAAACTAACAGAAAACTACGAGACTTCCTTAAAAGATTCCTGCAATGGAAAAGCATCAAAATATGAGGCTAGGGAATTCAAGTTGAAGTTGCAGGATGATGGGTAAAGCCATTTTGTTGTGTAAATAAGCCAGAACTGCTTAAGACCAGTGTCCATACACTCACAATTTTGCCTTTTTCTACCACCTCCTCCATTGCAACGTCTCCACAATACTGCTGTCCTCTCTACTCGGTGACAGTGAGAGACCCTTTCTGAATGACTACCAGGTGAACGCCTTGACTCTCTTTCCAGAAGGTGCTAATAGGGTGACCTACTGGTAACTCTGCTACTCTTTGCACCAATGCACCCATGGTAGGCCTGTGCAGCCACAATCTTTATGAAACTGCACTTATTTTAAAGCACTTATAGCACCGATGCCCTGGGTGGCATCCAATGTAGTAGAGATTCAAAAACATTTGGAAATGCATGTCAGATTTATTTTAAGTCATCATCATGGATCCTGATTTTATCAATTGCTCTGTTTAAGACTGGATGGTTACTGTCATCATTTGTTAGTTAGTCGGTAGGTGGAGTTAAACTCTCATTCAACATAGCTTGGGACAGAGGAATGTTATCTTTGGAGCCCCTTATGATGAGCAAGGGCCTTTTGTTTAAAGCCTTGCTGTCAATATTTCCTGAAATAAGGTATAACCTGCTGCTGCATCAGACTGGATGTGATTTAAACATTCATGTATGCCATATGTCAGGCTACAAACAAAAACAAGACATTTTGGATTTAAAAGACTAAATTAAAGGTCAAAATCAAGTTCAAAACCTATTGTTCCAGTGTTATACTGCAGTATATCTAATTTATTTTATATGTGCCTACATATATGGCTTTAATAACTGATTTTTCAGCAAATCATTATAAAATTTATATTCCATCAAACTTATAGTATAACATTACTAAAAATGTCATAACACAAATACCAATAAAATATACTTATCAAAAAATATAATATGATTATTAAAAAAAGCAAACATTTTTTATCTGATAACCATTCAAAAAGTTGCACAAGGCAGGCATGACTTGCCAAAATGCAGATAGGATAAATGTCAGAAAGTGTTTTGCTTGTAGTCCATGGATGCACTGCGATGTGTTGATGTGGATCTCTAGGGTGGAGAACCTAAATGTCTGCACATGCCCGCTGCTCTGACTCATCTATAAGGTTTATTGGTACCACACCTTCCTGATAAAGGGCCCTCCTACTCAACAAAACCTGAGTGGAAAGCTGTGCTCCCACTCATTTTTCAGGGCCCTCAGGGAGTTTCTGCATGCAGTGATCTTGAGATTTTAAGTGTTATATATTTCTGTCTCTTCAGTTTCATAAACACATTGAAATAGCGACTTCTAACAAATTATAATTTTTAAAACTATGTAAAATGATCAGAAACCTTTGTACATCATCATGTATACAACACAAAACCAGTCAAATTTGAACAATACTTTTGAAATGCTTACAAACTTGACACTATAATGAAAATATTTAGCCAATAAAAATTTCATGCAGAAAAAAGGAAAACTAACAGTAATAAAAATATAAATAAGATAGATTTGGTGAGCAAGAAACCACCTTTCACCAAAGCAATGGCACAAAACATTGTTTCACAAACTTGCCCTTAATAATTTTAATCATAATGATTAACAAAACAGGCATATGTTACTGCAAATAAAAGTAATACTAGAATGATACAATCCAACTAGATAAAAATGCTACACATAAAATATCAATAACGTTCTCTATTGACAGTGCTTGTATAAGCAAACTTACTTCTGGAGCTTTTCATATTCGCGCTCAAAGTCTCTTTCAACCTAAAAAAGAAATAAGAGGCAGTCAACTTAAAATGGGAAAAAGAGTATAATAGTATCAAAAGTTAATTAAACCAATAGGGCAGATTCAATGACTCTATAACAGATTTTAAACCTTTTAATCTGGGTATAGTTCATTGTCATGCCAAGTGCAGATATGTAGAAAAGAGACATGTTAAAATAATTTTTTTGAATATTACGCTTTTAATTTAGTGAAAGAGGTGCTTAGTTAACCAAACTGCAGTGTGCATGTGATGCTAGTGTTGGAAAGTGGGTGCAGCAAAATAATGGAGAGTAGTGATACTGTCAAGAAGATCATTCTGTGACTGTCTTGTAATTACAAATACACATTGATGAGGTACTCAACTGCGTGTTCGATCTGTTTTTTGTTTTTTTTTCTTCTCCAATGAAGTACAAGCGATACATAAGAAGAGCTAAAGTTGAATTATAACATAATATGGCTGGCTAAGCATTTTTTTTCACCTAATCTTTTCAACAATTGATTAAACCCATTGACTTTAACAAGACTGTCTTATTTCAGTTTGAATTACTTTTTACAATGAACTGGTACATTTACTATGTACCACAAAATAAAAAGTTGAATGAAGGTTTACACATTTTATATCATGCTCCCGATGACAAAAATCCCTGAGTGGAAATTCAGAATGTTAAATATGATGAGACCAAAAGGGATATAAGCAAACAATGTCCTTAGTTCAGTAATAAGTGTAACTTCAAAAGAAAGAAAGAAAAAACTGTAGCATCAAATTACATGCAACCTGCCAGTGATTTATTTTTATTACCTGTATTTATTGTTTATGAGTTTGTTTAATTTATTAAGATGTAAATTTAACATCAAAAAGGATAAGCGATTAAAACCGATGGAAATAAAAACGAAGTGGTCGGCTTAGTGAAGTCTGCGCACTAACACATACAGGCAGAGAGTTTATCAAGCAAACTAAAACTGAAACCTGAAGCATTTATCCACTGGAGAACGTAGCGGACGGATACCAGATCTGATTCTGACGCTGGCATTCAGCGGCTTTAAAAAACCTACAGTTCATTGTCACTTCTGTCTGCTCATCAGCGGCCCTTACGGGGTGATCTCATCATATGGTCATGCATGGTACTTGTGTTTCTGTGATTTGCAACAAAGCCAGACAGAGTGTCCAAACTGCTATTTTTCCACCTAAATTAAAGTACATGAATACTTTAAAACCACTTTTGAAAGCTTATATAACCTGGCTTATTTAACAGTGAGACAGACGCTTTATCTGCCTTGGTTGCTTTGAATGGAACAATGACTGAAGATAAACTGGTATGCAGCGTACGCACACACACACACACACGCAAACACACAAAAAAAACACACTAGTAGTGCTGCAGAATACAGCCAGGGACTACTCTGCACCTACAGCGGTTTGGAAAAAACAGCTGCAACTATTGTTAAAAGGTTTAAGAAATTTAAAAAAAAGAAATATTCATACAAATGTGTCCACTAAAAACATTGATGTTGACAAATTTTCACATATACAGGTCTACCAGTCAGCTACATTTAATCACCAAAAACTACAACAGGATGAAGTTTGTCAGGAATTTTCAGAACAGAAGAAAGAAAAAAGTAAATATCGAGTATACTGGTGGTCTACAAGCTACTTTAACTCTGTTAGAAGAAAAATAGATTTATTCATCAAGCAGCTAAAAATCAATCACTTTACACAGTTTGATTAACAATCATCACATATACAAGTTTTTTGATTTTGCTACTTTGCAATACATCATCAATACTTTCTTTGGAATTAGTTGCATTTATGTTTCCTTACCAGCATATTTTGGACAAATGTGTCTGAATAAAGAAAAGTTTGTCCATTTAGACACTCATCTCCTTCATTAATAATACTAGTTGTTTTTAGGTTCTGCACTCCAGTTGTCACATAATTTTAGATGGTTCTCTAGATGCTACGCATACTGGGACCAAGTATGGTGTACCCTGACTCTATGACTGTCCTATAGAAATTATATAACAATTAATGACGCAGTTATGTATGGCATTCAAAAGGTGTTACTGCAATTTAGATTAGATTATTAACTCATTTTAAACATGTATTGTAGTTGTTTCCCCCAAGCCCATTCAGGAGCATTAGACACGCCCGGGGAAAAGACAACTTAATTGGAAATTAAGCATCTAGATTTATATTTTTAAAAATAATAGATTTTTTTTTTTAAATCTGTCATTAGCAATGGTGACAACATTAATTGAATCTACCCTCAAACACTATTAAACCTGTGAATTAAGATTTTAAAAACCTGTATAATTATTTCATTATTGTTTTTTAATATAATTTCTCTTTAAATACTACTTAGGTGGTCAACCGAAAAATTTCTAGTTGCTATTATAGATTTTATTTTTATTTCTAGTCACACCAGAATGCCAACGCCAGACAGCATTGTTGAAGAAGGCGGACATACTGAGTTGACTTACACACAAATGCAAATTGGTTCTAATTAGGCATTTGGATGGCTTGTCCATCGCCACTTTGAAACATGTCGAACAAGTTACACAACCATAATGGCTTCCTGTCTTGTGGTTTTGTGGGCTTCTGACTTTAAACACAGGGGCAAAAACAATACAGGAAATAGTTCACACAATGTCACAAGTGGATCATCTGACGGGGCTGTGTGTAACCCACTCCATGGTTTTTACCTTGGATGGCACAGGAAGCTGGAAACCCAGTCTTACAGGGACTGCTGGGCCACAGACCCATTACAGTGGAAGTGGTTTTGCTACCAAGGGGAACACCCACTCGGTGCAACTTCAAGGTAATCAACTCTGTCGCCCTGACATGACTCTGACAAATTGCTTTCCAAAAATTCCTCTAGCTCCAATATGACAATATTTGTGTGATATATTTTTAAATTAGTGAAAATTAAAAGAACTACCTAAACAGATAAATAACAACACTTCAGCTGTTAAATGTTTGCTTTAGAGACTTACAGTTTTAGAGACTATCTGTTTCTTCGGCTGTCCAATCTTGAACGGCATCCTGGAACGACACAAAAAAAAAGCAATGAGAGGTGACAGACAAAAATGACCACCAAAAAGGTGAGATCACTGAATGCTAAGATTGTCATCAGCGACATGATGTCTGAGCAGAGGTCAGCACTGGTCTGAGGATTCCTTAATGCAGACGGAAGGAGGCTGTTAATCTCTATTCTTCTCAAACAAGCAGTCAGTGCCATGTACATTAACTTCATGTCATCGCTGATCACATCTGGCTTCCACAGCAAATGGATATCACTCAACAGAAGTGGTTGTACCCTCTTCTCTGTGTGGTTGCGCTGCATGATGACCCCAGCTGGCAATCAAACACAGATGCTTATTGTGTATTTGGGTATTATGCCTTCTCCTGAATGTCAGGCAGGAACCCATGAGCTACTACTCAAAAAGACAGTGGCAATTAGCGCCAAGAAACAGCACAACATTTTGTGTTTTTGCGCAAATTGTATCAAGCATGCACTTTTCATAATAAAGTGAAGCATCTGATATACAGGCACTGAACCACAAAGAGATCCTTGGGGCTGTTTTTGATGAAAGAAAAAGAAACGGAACCGTTCTTGGTAAAAACACTATTGTTAATCCACAGTTCAAAACTCTGTCCTTTGCCTTAATGAGCTGGTGCCAGGCATAGTGTTCTTGAGGTTCACAAAAAAAAAAAAACGTAAAAATAAAAACAAATTTTACAAAGGTCTTTGTCTGCACACTTTCACTGATGTGCCACCAATGGTGTAAAATCTACACTAAATGATGGCCAGTAGCTGGTGAAAGGCAGGGAGAGGCAGCAGCTGCGTCAGAAGAAAGGTGTGTAGATTAATGAGATAGAAAAGTGAGGGTGTGATGTAAGGCCTCGTTGTGCAATCAGAATACGCTTCAGTGCGAGAAAGAGCTTTTTGAAGACAGCTTTTGTCAAATTATATGGGTCAACTTGGTCAAACAATAGCAGAATTAATGCAGCCAAAACAATATGCCGATGTCACTAATGCTTCAAGTATGAGTGAGGACAATATTTCATTTGGAAGCACCGTTTATTTTATGGGTCCCATTGGATTTTATTTGTATTCCTCTTGTTTTTAGTTACGATTTAAACTAATACATTAGTCATTTCACTATAAACATGTTTTTGTTTTTATTTGAAAAAAAGTGGGTTCACTTACTGCTACTCTAGTTTGCGTGAGCCGCTGTGGAAAAAACTCATGAAATTCGTCAGCTACATTTCACATGACTCACCTTTTTCTGATTACCTGAAAGATATACAACAGTGTCATGTTAGCGTAGCCGTCTGTTAGATTTGTAGGGCATTCCTGAACACAACAGCGACATAATTTGGCAGAGATGGGCTTGAGTATAAACGCTGGCTGGGGACCAAGTAGCGTTCTCCCGAAACTAGAGATGACATCAACCTCCCACGTTCACTTCCTATGTTGCAATAAGTTTTTCCAATGCAAGAGATGAAGCTAAACTGCCATTTGGGAATCCCATTGATTGAGTCCAACTGTTGCTTTACAGATTCTAATAATAACCAGTGTACTTCATGAGTTTAGGTATCTCCAAGTGGCAATTTCACCACATGTATGTCACGTCTTCATGAATCATGAGAACTTTGTTGACCTTTTAGTTTAAACGATGACTTGTACCCTTTGTAATAGCTACGAAATATGACAAAAGTGAATTAAAGAAATGCTTTTGTGTTTTATATTTTGAAGATATTTGGAACAATAACCTGTATATGAGAAAGATTAATTTTATTCCTAGATCCTATGTCTAATACAAAAATTCCTAATTGACAAAGAAACAATAATAATTTTACCTATCAAGAAAGAAATTTTATGCCTGCTGGATGAGTTTTGTATCTAAAAGTACTTATTGCAAAAATCCAACTCCGAAACTGCATTTGAACTGTTTAGAAGAATTAAATAGGAAAACTGCAAACATCCCTTTAAGCTCTATCAAAGCACTGTAAAACAATAAATGTCTTGGTTTTAGTGTTAGTCTGATCACAAAGAAGACACGGAATTTTAGTTTTACCTAAAAATTTTGTTGGTTAAGATTGTTAGTGATTCTTTAAAAAAACAAAAGAAACTCAAACTGTAATATGTGGAAAAGAAACAGAGTGAAATGTGCTTTGAAAGTGAAAAGAGCAAACAGAAAGAATGTGATAAAAAAGGAGGATTGCAGACTCTGCTGATCATTTCTAAAGTTCACTAACACAACAATATTTCAGCTGGGCCTCCCACATTGAGAAACATTTGTGAATCTGGTCTTGTGAACCAAGAACAACTGACACAGAATAAGCCACAACAGAGTTTAACACAGGAATATTTTGAGTAGGGCTGCCCAATAGTAGAAAATGTTGCGACTGCAATAATATTGGTAAAAACTGCGATGACGATGTCAGGTGCAATATATACCTACTTTCTCAACTATGCTTCCTACACTCTCTGACCTTTAGCATTTTGGATGGTGTTGTTTGTGTCCAGTGTCTTCAGCTGTGAGAATCTGTCCATTAGAATGAAAAATGCAACTTCATAACACTTGGAATATATCAGCCACGAGTAATAATGATACTGATATTGCACTTCTGATATATTTGCAATATTCTGAAGTCCTAATTTTAAGTTAAACAAATTGTTGGCCAGAGATGTAACTGCACTTTGGATCATCACGAGTTATCGCTGTCTTTTTCAAAGCAGTGTCAGAAGGTATGCAAAGTACATTATAACTAACTGAAATTATTGTTATTATTGCTGTTATAACTGTAGTGTTTTTAATGATTTCAATCAGTCACTTATCCACTCTCAGCAATATTCTGAATGTATTGTTTCTAAATTATGATAACTGGTTTAGTCATGGTCTAGTGGGCGATTATCAGAGTATGACAACCTTGATTAAAAAATCTCTGCGACAGACTGGCGACCTGTCCAGGATGGACCCCGCCTCTCGCCCGGAACGTTAGCTGGAGATAGGCACCAGCACCCCTCCCGACCCCACTGAGGGACAAGGGTGTTCAGAAAATGGATGGATGGATGGATGGATTAAAAAATCTAAGTTTCCCTGTATTTATGCAATTGAAAGAAAATGTAACATGATAGGGTTACTTTTATTAAGCATATGCAACAATTTTTTTATATTTGTATAAAAAAAATCACATCTATTAATTGCGATTAATAGATGTCAAAGAAACGTCTATTAATCGTAATGTCTGACACTGTTGGTTGAAAAATCAAAAGGCCAGAATTTTTTATTAGCATTGTGGTAAATGAACAGGATTTTAACTGTCAATTCATTATAAAACGGGGTATACTTTGAACCAAGGTAGCCATTTCGTCTCTACCATCAGTTAGCTTTTTTATGTAAATATGAACAAGAATAAATGGAAATAAATATTCAACAATCATGAGAACTTAAGAACTCTAATATACAGTGTTTCTGGTAATATTTTGTGCAGCTTTACTTCAGGAACAAAAAAAGAGAGTATAATGTTTTCTTGATTCATTTTCAACCATTAACAAGTTAACCAACAAGCAATTAAAGAGGTATCTGATGTCTGCTGTAATAGGATACACGTCACCACCATCACGTAAGCACGTAGGCAAGAACAAAGACGTAACAGTCTTCTTTATTGGGGACACATTATGTACTAGCTGGAAAACCCAATGGCTTTTCACTATAACTGCAAATGTGTACACCATTAGAGAGATACGGCATCATTTGACCTTAGATATTCCATGGAGGACAGAGGGCTGGTTGAAGATGTTGGGAAGTGGAATTGTTTTGATGATGACCCCAAAGTCAAACCTCTTACGTCATAAACCCTAGTGTGCAGGCCATGCTGGAATGCATCAGTCAGCAGTGGCAATAAAGGGTTCCTTTCAGTGACAGAGCTGTCCACTCTTGACCTTCTGGTTGGCAGTACATGATGGCAAAAGTCCTAGTCATTAAGCCGAAGTGAATGACGGCATGACACCAAGAATGTGTACAACACTGTAAAGTTAGTTCTTATGCATATACGTCACAATTGTATGGAAAAAGGTTTGTTTCTCTTTGTTTCCACTTGTGCAGCATTCATGAATAATGAAGAGTGAATGACACAAACCAAAAGAAGTGCAACATTGCCAAGCTCAATTTGCTTCAACTCACTTTATTATTAACAATCCATTTCCATTTACATGGATCGAGTTCAGTGACGTATAGAGGCAAAACACTTTCACACTGTGGGCCATCCGATCGGGAACTGGCAGAGATAGACCTATACAGAAACTACACTGTTGTATCAAAGAGAATTGTATCAATTCTACAAATGATTCGAGTATCCTGATTATTACAATTCCTTGAGGCAAATTATCTGCTTTGCAGCTTTGATAAATTATGTTTTACTATTAAGTGCACTGTGTTCCGGTCGCTTGATTATTTGTGTTGCACAACGCTCTCAATTCTGCTTTTGAGTTGTTGATGAATGCTAAGGGCTAGCAGCACAATGTCCAACTTTCAAGTTCGGTCCAGGGTATTCTAATTCATAGATTGATCCAGGTTTGTATCGTTTTTCGGGAGACCAATAGGCGTCCCTCAAATGACTGGCGCGATGCATTGAGGATGACAGCCTTTCTCTTCCCGGAGCTGCTTGTTACCAGGTGTTCGGATTTGACTGTTAGCACTGTAACCAAGGGTCTGATTACACTTGAATGCCAGATAATTATACTATTTACATAACTACTCATAGCATCAATGCACTTCATAATAACAACCATATCCAGGTATAAAGTACTTTAAACTTTAAATAGCATAAAGACAATCAGTTTGCTCTCTGGTCATAAAATAACAGTCACAATGTTGGGTGAATTGTGTGTTAAGAGTTAGACTATAATGTATCCCTGACATAATTCATTTAATATAGGAGACATTCTGAGTGTGTTTGTCAAAGAGTGATGAAATTATAAAAAAACATTGCTACTATTACAGCTACAACTAATCATGATAACACTGATGTGGAAAAATTATAATGAATTGTTAAATAACCTCTGCATAAAATGTTCCTACTGTAATACATACCCCAAGAATGAGAAGATTTTCTTAAATCTTGATAGTTCTTGGCAACATTTGGAGAAATTGTCCAAATTTATTAGAATATAGTAAGAAACACTGTGTAGTATTTTTTTTAAAATTTATTTAAGAGCTAAAATGTTATGTAGGGAAATCATGATAAAATAATTATTGTGATTTTACAGCAAAAAATATAATTTTGACATGTCACTCACACTTGCAGTGGTGTGGAATTTGGATTACGCCCTCGACACCTCCATTTAAAAATGGTATTTGCTGTTACTTGTGTTGTCTTTGACTAACATTTAAATTGGTTTGATGTTCTGAAACACTTAAGTATGACACCGATACAAAAACAATAGGAAATCAGGAAGAGGGGAAACACTGCATTTACACTAATGTGGTATTTAAGTTGGCATAAGGGTGGTAACTTAAGTCAAATGCTCTAATTATCTCACCTGTGTGCCATTACTTTCAGCACCTGTTTGTTATTGGCTACTCAATATAATTCAGGTATGATGAACCAAAGAACCTCTAAAACTTACAGGACAGTGGGTTCCGAGAACCATAATGGATCTGCACCGATCCTGCTGCCCTGACCACTAGATACAACAAATGTACATTCTCTTTGAAACACTACCTGAACTTCTTTAAATCCCTAAAACTTGAAGGTACCAGCAGACGCACAATCTCCAAGATATTAATAGCTATTAATATCTTGGAGATTGTTTATATATTTATATGATTCGTTGTCGAGTACTAAGTTACCAGTATGGAACTGTTGGCTAAGAAACACTGTAATAATAGCTAGGTAAACACTTATTACAGAGTCACTTAAAGTTGACGACACTAAATACAGCTAGAAACTATTCTATCATAAACGAGTGTTTTATGTGCTTTAGACTACCTTAGGTCAAATTAACAAGGATAAACCCAACCAGAAAAGGTTATATTTGTGAGTCACGGAGTTTAAATGCTAAAGCTAACTCCGTTGCTAGTGTAGTTTGGCTAGCTCTTCCAGGAAATAGCCGGAGCCCCAGGCGATTATTCGCTCCTCGGTAATTACGGAAAATGGCTCGACTTACAATTTATTCATAAGCAACACGTCTAGAATGTGGCAGAGATACATACCAGTTCATTTTGAGTGACTTTTATTCCGTTGGGCCTGGTTAATAGTGTTATCTCCTCAGAAACATCGCTTTCCGTCACTCCATTGGCGAGCGTTCAACAGGAAGTTACTTCAGCCGACACGCTTCAGTTTCCTCTGAGGTTGTTTTTTTTATATATATAATGAACAGAGCTAAGCAAATGTTATAGATGTGGCGTATTGAATATACTAACTCATAAAATAATTGTTTTGTTATCAAATGGTTTGTTTATGACGTTCTTTTAATTGTGTGTGTGTGTTTGCAGGAAACGTGGAGAACCAGGAAAGCACAAGGCAAGTTATATATTTCTTTATTCAAGTACTTACATAGAAATAACAAAACATTTGCATTACAACAAACTGAAGTGCCAGGTAAACAGGGGAGCACATCTCCCTATCACAAAGATATAGTAAAATTAATTTAAATATTCAGCTCCTCATAAAATGACCTTATTATAAGGTAATAAAACATTAAATAGGCAAAAGACATCCACAACACTTTGAACAAGACCCCTTTTCTTTAACAAAAAAGCTAACAGAACAGTTATCCCAATGTGTTTCCAGTAATCCATCTTGCATTGTTGTTAGGTTTGTTCCTTTTTACCCATGTGACTTTTTTCATGCAAAATTTAAAAAAAGGGAGTGCCACCACCAGAAAGTTTGGGTGGCACTTTCCGTGCACATGCAAACATAAGGATATTTTGGTAATGAAAGGAAACACAGCACAACAGAAAACAGTGAGCATCGACTCTGTTTTAACACCAGCTTCACTGCTGAATCCCTGACGCCACCCTGTAGTCCATAAGATGACATGAGTTGCTATAATAATATCTACATGTTATTGAAATCATGTTAGTTTTTTTTTTTTCTTTTTTTCTTTCAGTTTTTAAGTGAGGCAAAGCTCAGTGCCTGGCACAGGGCCAATTTCACAAAATCTGTATCAAACATTAATGCACAAATATTAGCACAAGGTTGCCTTCAGCTACAAGCAGACAGGGGTTACGTTTATTTGTTGCTCCTTTGGAGTTATTGTCATGGATTGTTTTTGATCAGCCAACCCTGCAACCCAGTTCAGCGTAATGATGGCTGCTGATGTTGGCACAAATTCATCATGGAGCTGAAAACCTTTCAGCCAACTACTTTTGGCCAGCAGAGTATTAAGCACATAAAATAATGAATTATTAGTGGAAAGAAATTACATTTAAATTAGTTGGTTTTGAGTTTAGCAGTTATTTCATGAATTCTCATGGCCTCCTCCTAATTGGTATACAGAAGACAATTGTGCAGCCTGTGTTATAATAGCCAACCTATTGAGAAAGCAAGTAGTGCAAGTAGTGGAGGGATAATATAAGTTTTACAAAATTTACAAAAACACATACAAAACAAAGTGTAACAGACACAGTGGGGTTGATTAAATATTGTTACATGGCTTCATTTTGGATGTTGATATATTCTTGCTGTTATCCCTGCCTACCTTTTCATCATTCTTCAACACAAAGCAACAGAAGCATAATGTTCTCTAACATGATAGAAATATTTTTTGGTAAAATAAGGTCTAAATGATCTTCAGTCTGAACTCATAACATCGAATAACTCTAGCATTAACGACAGGCTTTTGTTTTCTTATTGTCTTTTATGTTGTGTCTATTCTTTGTCTTCTGATCCCTATATGGTTATTGCTTGTTACCAGATACAACCTGGTCCATAACAGTTTTATTGTGGAAAAATAGTTGTCAAACTATTTGGTGCTGTAGACTTGTGTTAGTTTGTCAGGTTTTATATTTCATATGCTGAAGGAGAAACTTTATTTGGCCAATGTCCAACCAATGCAGTGGAGCTATAGGTTTCCGTGCTACACACCTATTGATTTACAGCTGTAGGCAGTCCAAACTTTTAAACTTTTCACATAAATCCAAGGTGGACTATTCATTTAACCATGTAGATAAATTTAAAAAAAAAAAAAAAAAAAAACCTCGGAGGCCAAATTAATTGGAAAATAAGTGGATGCTTGCCAGGAAGCAGAGCAGTGAAAACTGTTTCAGGAAAAAGAATGGATGGCCTTCAGAGCTCTTTACTGCATGCACTGGGTTCTCTGTGGCACTGTTTGTCTGCACTTTTCCTTTGACCTCTGCATTAGTCAGTTCCTAAACTCCTTTAGTCCAGTCATTGTGTGTGCTGATGGGTACAGTACTTGTTTTTTAAGCAGTTTTCTTACGTCAAAAAGTACAACAAATGAAATAATAAAATATGTTAAAAAAACAACAAAAAACAGTTGAATAAAAAAATTGTAAAACTTGTTTTCTTTGAAATTTGAATATATAGTTTAAGAATCAGGCTTTAAAAGAATGTCAGGAAGCATGCTTCCTATTTGACAAAGAAGTCAGTCCAACCAATTTTTCTTTTAGCGTGATCCCTTTGCTGCTTGTCAAACATGCGTATCACAGCATCTCCTGCCTTTCTTATTTATAGTTTTCATAATTTTTAAAATTGATTTCCTCCAATTACTTATGTAAAACAGTCTTTGAATTGCACAAATATGCCTTTTGATGTCTGTCACTAAGCCTGTAAAACAATCTTAAGTGTTTAAACTCCGTGAAAGTAAGGCAAACTGTCTTTCCTGTAAAACTAACTTTTTTTTCTTAAATCAAATATGCTTTAATAATAATTAATGGAAATACTACGATCCAAGTGAAGTCATTGATGGCTCACAGAAAATGTTTTGCTAAAAGACAAAAGTAGTACCTTTTTCTTTCAGTTTAAAACTGAGTAAAGTAAGTGAGGAGTCATTAGTGAGAATTATTTGCATGATCCGTAATGTATTTTGTTTATGAATAGGTTCAGTCATTTAGGAGAATGTCTTACAAATAACCAGTGTTTTTATACTGCGGAGAGACTGTGGTAATTAAAATAACCAATATTTCTTTAATGGAGATGCACAAAATAAATTAAAAAAAAGCAGTTTATTCAAAGAACACATTAGTGCTGTTTTTAACTGGTCTCCCTTGTTAAGCATACAGATGGTGCCATCCTTTTGTTTTTTGTCTTTCTGAGTTTTTTTTCAGTGGAAGGTAGGACAACATATCTGGCACTATACTGCAGGGATCTACAACATTTTGACAATAAAATATTATATTTTACTGAAAATCTTAGGACACTTTCTGCACAAGCATTCAGTCAATTGAGAGTTCTTGTTAATGCAGACGTCTGTATTTACATAGTGTGCATGAAGGAATGCACTTTTATGCACAATTTAATACTGAACTGCAGTGCATTTGACATTTTAGTACAAAAGTGAAACTTCTACTTTAGCTACCTGCATACATATTTGTATACTGTACAAAAAGAAGGATACGTACATTTGCAGTCCAGTCTCTGAATTAAAAATATGTAAACGTTGATTTTTTTAAAATTATTTGTCTCTTACCGTTTTCTGCTCATCTTTTGGTAGTTTAAGCGTTACAAAATGAGAAGACATGCCAAGGCCCATATTCATCTTCTCTTTAACGTCTCGTTGGCAACCCACTGTTTTTTTTTTTTTAATTAAATAGTTTGTTCTGTCTACAACGGTGCTCTTAGATGATTTAATTTGCGTGTGAGTGGCATATGTCTGTGTACTCGATTGCATATTGCAGAAGTCATGAAAAATAAACAGTATCATTGAGCATTTATATTAAAAAAAAGAGCAACAGAAAGTACATTTGGTAACACAACGTCAAACCACGTTTTAAAAAGGAGGAAAACAACACACAGGGTGTCTCACAGTGACTAAAAATAAATAAGTATTGGCAAAGGCATCAGTTGCTGCAGACATGTTTCTGCACGAAACAGGACAAGACATTGGGATTTGCTTCATGTGACCTATTCTGGAATAACCTGGATTCAAACAAACTGTGCAGATTCGTCTAAATCTGGTGTGTGGAATCTGATCTTTCTAAGGTCTCCACAGCTGTGCTAAGCTGATGCCACTCCTGGGTTTGGCAAATATCAGGAACAAATATAAGGAACAACGTTGGCTGCATCACTGCAATACATTTGGCACATTCTTTAAAAATAATAATTATAAAACAACAAAACAAAAGAAACATTCAAATATTAAAAAAAAAACACACTACACTTGAACAAAAATAAAAAAAACAAAAAACAAATACAGTCACGGGCCACAATTAATAGAATCATGATGATACACAAATATAACCAATTGCACTTTTAAACAGCCTAATGATATTAATGCATACATCCCAGACAATACACCTTCTCACTGAGCTCCTTTCTTCAGCCTCTCTCATGCATTCTGACGTTCCTTCAATGAAAACAGTTTCTGTAAAAATGACACATCCACCTCAGAACCTAGTGATACACAAAGATCTCTGTGGCAGAATGTGCTGAAGTGCCCATATCTGTGTTTACACTATGTTACAGTAGCTGAGGCTCTGAATTGCTTTTAAAAGACAAGAGGAAAGCAGCCCTTCCCCTCTGACCTAAACTAAAGACGTCCATCTCAAAATAGAAGGAACTGAAAAGAGCCAGAGTGTAAACAAAGAAGAAGAGAATCACCTATTTATTTCATAGTGAATGTGATCTGTACTTCCCAGGTCTCTGTATAATCTCTGGCTAGGGTCTAGTCCATGTGCATGTAGTGATGGTCATGACGCTCCCACCGCTGGCCCCCCGCAGGAGCCTGGCGGCGTGCTGTGGCTCCCGGCCGCCCCACTGCTCTTGTCCGCCTGCTTCTTGTCCTTCTGTTTCAGGTGAACCTTTGCATGTCTCTTTCGCTCGTCACTCCTGGCAAATTTGCGTCCACAAAACTCGCAGGAGAAGGGTTTCTCACCCGTGTGCGTGCGGATGTGTGTGGTGAGGTGGTCGCTCCGGCTGAAGGACCTCATGCATATTCTGCACTGGAAGGGCTTGTGACCCGTGTGGATGCGGAGGTGACGCGTGAGCTCGTCTGAGCGCGAGAAGCGTCTGTCACAGTTCTCCGCAGGACAGGCGTGTGGCCGTTCGTGAACAGGCGTTTTGCTGGGACGGTTGGGGTACTTCCTAGGACGGATGGGTTTGAGGGTAAGAGTCTGAGGTGGCGGATGGTGCTGGGGTGGGTGCTGCTGCCCGCCAATGAAACCCGGGTGGATTTGCTGCTTGTCTTTGAATGCTCTGATGGTCTCCAGCGGCGTGATTGGCGGAGGGTTGACTCTGATAGGGTCCATGGTCTGGAAGGGTTTGTGCTCCATGACACCAACCTCTCCCTGATGATGAAAAAGGTTGTAGTCAGGGATCATGGAAAAAAGGCTGCCATCCATGGGGGCTTTGGACGTTGAGTGATATTCATTTCCAGGGTAGGCGAGAGCCGTGCTGGTGGCGGGGCTGTGGTGGAAGGAGACCTGATCCTGGTACAGGTCACTGCAGGTGGAATAGGCAGGCAGCGGAGGACCGTATACCTGCTCCATGTCTGACGATTGTCCACCCATGCTTGCTGCAGAGGACGGCGTCTGCGTCGTTACCGTGCCGGGTGATGGAGAGACGCCCAAAATGCCCGCACTGACGAGGCTTATGATGTTGTTGTCGGGGCACCAGCCAGAGCCACCGATGCCACCTGAAGGAGGAGTGTCAAAGGCGAACTTCCCCAGATACGTGACAGTCTGCCCACTGCGGTTGGACTGGAAGCTGGATCCATACTGTATGTCTGAGCTTGTCTTCTCGCTTCCCATGCCTAGATCCATGATATTATCTAGATGAAAGAAGATTAAAAAACACAGAAAATGAGCAAAATATCCTCCTGGTTTCTAAAAACATGAACTTAAAATCATCCAATCATCCAAGAAGAAAGCTAAGAAAAAAAAGTTTAGATAATTAACATTATTTTTGCCAAATGAACTTTTTCTAGCAGTTCTTGGTTTGTCCCAAAATAAAGCCTTGTTGCATATTTTTCAAAAGGTGACAAAAGATAAAAGAATAATCACAAAAAATCCCATACAGTTCACGAAGAAACGTGAGCCCTGTCAGACCTGGAAGTTAAGTGACTTGAGTGCTGCCTCTGAGAGAGTGGTGTCTCTCTCTCTTGCAGATCCCACAAGCTCTCATAAATCAAGACCTAAACACCCCCTGTGATCCAGTCATTGTGTCCCTTAGGAGGACAGCCAAAGAGGAATGGCAAGATTTGATGTCTTAACAGCAGGGAGGATTATGAGGGCAGACGCCAAATCCAGAATGCTCAGGAATTTGAGACACATTTGCAAAAAAAAAAAAAAAAGGAACATCTATAAGGAGATTTCAGTGTTTCCTCTATGTTTTTCTCCTATTATTGTTATAACATCGCATTTACACACACACACACACACACACACACTCGCTCGTGCTCATTTTCTTTCTTTTTCTTTATCAAAGATGCTATGAACAACAATTGCACACCTATCAATAGTGATGAATTTGTGGCACGGTTGTGCTCAAAAAGGTAAATGTATTGCAGTTTAAGCATAATTCTTTCACAATAAGAATTTAAAATGAAAACCTATTATACTCTGCATGAATCCATATAGACATGTTTGCTCTCAACAATTACAAGCCACTGAAATTTGGCTGGTAAAATCATGTAGCAATAAGGCAATACAAAAATATTTTCAGAAAATATTATTTGACCTGTGAAAAAACAGGGATCATTTTATTATTTGTGGATTTTAAATTAATAAAGTAAATCTTAAGAGATTTGTTTTTATCATTACCTTTATAGATTGTTTTTTTCTCTTTTTTTTCAATTTTAACCTGAAAATGAAATAAAATTTTAGGCACAAAATAAGGTCTGTACTCTTTTTCTTCGTATTGACACACCTGTTTTTCCTCTTAAATCACAGTTAGTGCTTAATCTCTATTTACATTAAATAAATACTCACAAGTAACCATTTTAACACTGTCTGATGTAAACTTTAGCAAGAATTAACAATTTAACAGAAACACTCTGTTTCTGTTAAATTGAAACAGATTACAGCCAATATTACAGCCAATAATAAAGCAGATAATTATATTTTATTGCATGAACAAATAAAAATGTAGAGGGCTTATGACCTGATTCACTTGACTTTAATGGATTTTAAGCCTAAAATTAGCATGTTTCTTTTAACACCTGGCGCATGCTTAATTCAAACACACGTCTGTGATAAATCAAGGAGGGCTATGTCTTGGTAAATAAAACTACGTGTGTTTCCATCATTTTATGGCGGTGAGAACTTCTGATTAATAAACCCGCGTGTGAAAGTCGCTAAATTGAAAGATTAACGGGTAGAAAATTAGAGATTTTGTATTTTTCTCAGCATTATTCTCTCATTTAAAAGATTAAGCTTTAGCTCTTAGATTTCTTGTAATATTATTAGCCTGTACAGTGCATCATCGTACGCGTCAAAATGAATAGAAAGAATTTAAACAAACAGACGTATAAAAACCGTTTTATTTAAAAAAACAAATAAGCGAATGCAATTAATAATGCCCGCTGTTATAATTTCTTAAATATAAGGTGGCGCATGGGCCATGCGCTTTGAGCGTGTATTTCACATAGGAGAAAGCTCCCACACACGCCTACTAAAACAGTGTTAATAGAGTTGTGAATGAAAGTCATTGTTTTAAGTAGCTGACCCCCCCTTTGCTAGTAGATATCAAATCTGAGACACTATGGACTAACCGCAGTGGCACACTTACCGATTTCATTCAGAGGAGTCAATCTATTTTCTGCAATCTTCGTCAAAAAACTCTTCCATGAAAAAAAAAAAATTCTCAGATTTTGAGAAATTAAATCACAACACATCTTCTTTTCCAGATTTTTTTATTGCTATTGTTATTATTATTATTATTATTTTTAGAATTATTCATCACCGCGTGTTTAGTTGTGAAATGAGTTGTGTTCGTTTGCGTTTTCACGCTGTGATTCATATTCTGACGCTTCGGCAACGGAATACTGACTCAAAACATTCAAACAATAACAAAAAAATGAATAAAATCAGAAACAGTAACTACTTATATCTACGTTTCAATGGGTATACCAAGTGATTTACACACCTGACCTCTCTAAAGTGTGGGCTACTAAAGGAATCTGCCTTTGTGCGCAACAGAGTGGGAGCGCAAACAGGTGCTCCAAGTCCGAAGACAACTGTTGCCATCCCCGCTCATCGCACTTTGAGCTTCATTTTTAACAGAGCTAGTAAATTCGAGGGAGGAAAAAAAATCTTACCTGTGTTCATCTGTGAATAGTGGTTTATAGACTCCGTGCTGGTGAAAATATTCATAGAGGTGGGGATGTCCTCCTCCGGGTAGAGACTGTCGGGGATCGTGTTTATTAAACTGCTCATGGTAAGAGGGATCTTGTCCGCTAGTTTCCCTGTCATAGCAGTTATGTTCAGTCCGACATTTACAGAGGACAGCGCGCAGGTATCCAGGTAGACACACGGAGAAACGCACAGGTGCTGCTCGGGCGAAGGGTAGCAGGAGGCAGGCGCAGGATGGATCCCGGAGCTGTAGCTATCCAAAGTATCCCGCGGAGGACGCGCGGCGCCGGTTGTCTCTCCTCTGAGCGCTCGCAGCCTATTGTTATTAATCTGATCACTGTGGAAGCTGACAGGCTGCTTGTGAGGGAATTTGAAGTCTGTGAATCAATGAAGGAGGAGGAGGAGATGATGGTGGTGTTGCTTGAACAAGAGGAGCCGCTCTGCGTGCTCTATTGGAGCTGGATAGGGGACTCCAGTCTACCCGTGTTAAATAGGGGGATGGAACATTTGTGTGACGTAGATGACCATATATGGACATGGGCGCCCATCAGCAGGCTCTCCGCGCGTCAGTCAGTGGAAAGTATAGTGGAGGCAAAAGACTCCGAGGGAGATATCTAAGTTTACAAAAATCGAGATAGCGCGCCCAGCTGCATCCTCTTCCCTGGCCTTGTAAAAATAATGGCAGCACATAATCTTGATTATTTTCAGTTCTTGTGGTACCTTCTGTAGAGTGTTGTGGCTACAAAGCATGTCACTCACACAATGAACTTTATCCATAATTTACGACTATCTTCCCACAATATATTACATCGTGATATTAAAACGTGCTTTGTTGACTTTACAATCAAGCCTCATCTTGTCCCGAAAAGTTCAGACAGAACTTTGGATAATGGTGTTCCCATCCCCCCCTCCCCCCTCATTCTTTCCCTCTCTCTCCCCCTCTCCCTGTGAACTTGCACACACTTTATGCGGCGCTGTGTTGCAGAAAGCTGCTTCCAAACTCCTTTTCAAGCAGCATCATTGTCAAACAAAGACAGTAATTGACGGAGTTAATCGCTTGTAAATATTGCAAAGCTTTGCACAGGCTTGCTTTGACTTGGAGTCCAAGTAACCGGCAGAGTGGAAACTCCAAATAAGGCAGTGTCCGGCCCCGCCCATTCATGTCTGTATTTGGACATGCGAGTTCCGGATGAAGTAGTAGTAGTAGTAGTAGTGGAAAAGTGATCGGAAGCCACAGACGCTTAAAACGATGACAGTGGACGACACGTCATGGTTCGCATTTTAACCAGCATGCAAACTGTGAAAAAACAAACAAAACCATGTACTTGGTGAATTTGAGAAAAGCCCCCTCTATAAATTAGTTGGTTACACACACACACACACACAAAATAAACTAAAAAAAAACTTGGTGGAACAAATAACCAATGTGAAAAAAAAAACTTTATTTAGTCATGACAAGTGGTTAAATTGGGGTGAAGAGATTATTGAATATTTTCTAATTTTGTATTATATATGTGTGGTTAACTTGTATAAAAAAAGACAAAACAAAGGCCTCTGGAATATTTTCAGAAAATATTGAATGGCATGTCAGTGCTTGCATACACAGACCTAAGAAATTAATAATACTCAATGAAGCATAAGTGTAAACAGAGTGTGTGGGAGAATTAGTCTGAATCATCCTTGGTGTTTGGGGGGCTTACACAAACAGAGCAGTCGCTGATCCTGCATGTCTCATTACCAAACGCAAGTCTTTACACTCAAGCGTGCCTCTTGTAGTAGCTAAATGTGGTCTGATCACTTTAGCTAAAGTAGAATGACAACACTAAAGTTTTTTTTCTTAAACAGCCCGATCTTTTTTTTGCAACATTCTGACCTAGACATGATTTTTTTTTTTTTCAAATGTATTTCCATCTCTAATTGCCCACCGCAAAAATATCTAAATAAAAAAAAAATCCCCAAACCATATCAGGCTATCTCATAGTTTAAAGTTACAGTTTCAAATCTGTTAAGTATTTCAGTGTACTGCCAATCAGCTGACTGAGAAACGGCTACTGAGTGTGTAAACATTTCTGGTCACAAAGAGCACAGATTTTTTTTTATGTTTTGAAAACTCAAGATATACCAGACAACAGTTGTATTAAGGTAACACTGTTTAAAACTACAGATGACAAACTATGAGTGATGCATCTAAAGAGACTGGCAAGAACTGCAAATAGTTGGGCTAATTAAGAAGCTATTGTTATATTTTCTTGTAGCCCCAGTGTAACTTTTAAAAAGCAGAACATCAAACAGATAAGTTCTGTGCAATAAGCATCTGAAAATTAAATTAAATTTAGTGGATATTTCTTTGACGTTCATGCTTGAATCTATGAGTCAAAATAATAGTTAATATATGTTACAGATAACTATAATCTGTATTTTGTGTGGGGCACAGTTCTACTATTTGTTACTTTTTTTTGTTTTAATCAAAGGTAATGGATCACAAAACAGTGAAACCAAATCATTTGTATTTTTACCTTTATATGTGGGAAAAATCTAATTGCATTCAATAGCATCCTCATGAGTTTAATCTAAAATGTTTGCATATTTAAAGCCTGGCTGATATTACTATTTTCACATAAATATATTTTTAGTTTTAAATTTTGTCCAAACATTTGACTTATCGTACTCCAACATAAAGCAAAGATCCTTATTAAAACTGTATTTAAAATATTAAAGCAACAAGTCCATGCGAAAAGCAAATAAAATAAAAACTTGACCATATAAATAATTGCAGAATAATCGCATGGCTTGTGTGTGTCGGTGTGTGTTTTAGGTCCTTAAAGTTGCTGCCTCGTCTTCCCGTTACTCTGTGTAAATAAGAATTGCTACCTGATCCATACCGTCACACAGACTTTCACAAAAACAGCGGTGTTCCCCGTCATGTTTATGGATGCAAACCATCAGAGAATCCCCAGGTGTGGCGTGGGACTCTCTGTACTGTGAAGCTTTTCCTTGGGGAGGGCGAGAGTGTGTGCATCTCTGTGGTCGGAAAGTTGGCCACCCCGGCTGGAACACTTACCTGTTGCAGGCTCGTTTCCTCGACTGAGATGGCTCACAAGGGGGAGGGCCTGTATTGTTTGTCAATGGCTTGTGGCGTGACCTGGCTCAGCGCGCATCGCCCAGCTCTTTTGCATATGGGAATTCCATGGAAGCAGAGGCCCATTTTAAAGTGCTGTGGAAAACCTCCAAGGCACTGTGGATGTATAGTCAAATTATTTTTTTTCTTTCCACATATAATCAAGTTGGCTAAAATGATCCCATGTTGTTGGTGAAAACAGCTAGAAAAATAAACATGCCCACCTGGAGAAACAACTGACCAAATACTGCTTCATTTTATATTGACTGAGTGCAGTAAGTTCACCACTATCATCTAGTTAAAACTAAACACAACCAAGAATTTGCTTAAAACGCTGGCCACCAATGTAATCTACGAGTTTATTCAGAATGTAGAATGAAATAAAAATAGAGAATATGCATTCAAAAATACTTAAATGATTCTACACTGTGGATTTTCTCCTTAATTTTCTGGTTCATTCATTTATCAGACATAAAGGCGACTTAAAGGCGATAGCGGTCACATATGGTAAGAGATGTTGACATAAATGTACATCTAAAAAATCTGAATATCATACAGTTCAGTATTTGTCACATTTCAGAAAGTGAAACTCAATTTGTACATCGAGTAAAATATTGTAGGCCTTTATTACTTGTATAATTTTGATGATTATGGTTTATATATGATAGAAACCCAGAATTCAGTGCCTCAAAACTGTGACTATTATACAAGATTAATAAAATAGGATATCCATTTTATTGAGAATGCTAACGGGAATGCTAGACTTCTAAAGAGTATGCATCTCTTGTACTGAATACTTGGTTGGGGTTTCTTTTGCATAAATTCCTTTATCAGTGCGGCATGGCATGGGGGCGATCAGCCTGTGGTTCTGTTGAAGTGTATTCAAAGCCCAAGTAGCTTTGACATTAGCCTTCAGGTCATTAGTTTTGTTGGGTCAGGTGTCTCTTGCCTCCCTCTTGATAGATTCTCTATCAGGTCAGGCCAGTTTGCTAACCAGTCAAGCAAATTCAACACCATGGTAATTGAACCTTGTTGTGGTACCTTTGGCAGTCTGGGCAGATGGCAAGTCCTGCTGGAAAATAAAATCAGCATCTTCATAAATCTTAGCAGCAGAAAACATGAAGTGCTTTAAGACATGGTTGACTATAAAACAGTTGACCAACACCAAAGGCACCTCAAATCAACAGTGACTGACCCAGAATGAGAGACCATTTCTAGGACATCAATGCAGATACATTTGAGTTATAATTGGTGTGAAACCATGAGTTTCCAATATTTAAGTCACCGAATGTTGGGTTTTAATTATCTTGAGACATAATCACCAAGACTACAAGTAATAAAGGGCTCAAAATATTTCAAACAAAATATTCTAAATATTTCGAACAATGAAACAGTTTCACTTTCTGAAATGAATGGCACAAAATATAAAATTTTTTCCATGATTTAATTTGTTTAGATGTACCTGTACAGTGATTTGAAAAAGTAATTATACCCATTGGACTTTTACACATTTTCTTACAACACAGTAAAGTGTTGTATAGTTATAGACAATGATTCACTTTTTTTGCTGTGTTCCACCCGCTCTGTTCCGTTTCCTTGAAATAAAATGACAGTATTAACAATGACCTCAAAAACACATTTATATAGTAAATGGAGTCATTCTGAGTGTAATTCAAGCTCAGTCTCAACACAGCTTACAGCCTACTTCATCAGCTAGACAACATTATTGAACAAACAGAATCATTAAGACCAAGGAATAGGGCAGATGGGCCATAATGATGCAATAAAGATGCTTTTCTTAAGCAGGAATAGTGAAACCGGTCAGAGTTGATAGGAAGATGGATGGAAGAGAAACGGGGAAATTCTGGAAGCAAACCTGTTAGAGCGAATCAGGTGCTGAAACCGTGCAGGTTACCCACATGTATCAAAGATCTTAGGAGGAGAGGCAGTTTCTAAAGAGGCTCGGAGTCCTCAAGATTTGATGGGTGTGGAAGGACAACCCTGGTCTTACTACTGAACTAGTAGCTTGTTTGACAGTGTTGAGTTTTGTCCAGCAGCTGCAAACTTTGTGCATCAGGTGTATGCAGGGGTTCAGCAGGAGTACACATACAGCATAGCAATGCTCTCTGATTTTTATTTAGGCACAAAATTATGAATTAGATTTGAATAACCACAGATGCTAGTCGAGTTTAATGAATGCAAAAGGAAGCAAGTTTTATTTCGCACAAAACAAAAAAAATAATTAGAAGCTTTCGGCCACACTTTTGTTGCAACTTTCCAATAGTTTCACCAGAAGACATGTTAAAGGTCACCTTCTTTATGGGGTTTTATATGATGGGATAAAAATATGTGCTTAGACAAAAAAAACAGATTTAGTTATCCAGTAACATGGATGAATGAAAGAAGAATTTCACTCTGAGACGGGAATCAAATCTCCTGAGGAATTCAAACTGCATCCAACATGTGCAATTAGATATGGAAATATAAACTATATGAATAATAACTGATCAGATGTTCCTCTTAAATTCATTCTAGCACAACTCATAACATGCAGTAACTCAGAAATACTATGATGAAATAATCCTTAGCATTATCTTGCATATTGGATCACTTTTTGCCAATGAGACAACTGATCCGATTATAAAAATGATAAACTACGGTAATATTGACTTCATTAAAGAAAATATTGAAAGCCTTATTCACATCAGGAAAAGTGAGAAGCGTATATACTCTCCAGCACTGAACTATAACTGTCAATTTTTATTAATCATAACATTTAACTCTTGACATTTGGAGTAAAAATAAACACGTTAGAGGAAACTGAACGGCAAAACCCAGCTGGTTTGGCAGGATCTCTCTAAAACATAAAGGAGAAGGGAAAAAAAATGCAGTGCATTTGGAAGTGCACATCTTGGCATTTCAGTCTTGTACTGATGGATTCAAGTAGGTGTTTTTGGAAGAATGCTCTCCTACTTGGCATGCTTCACAATGAGTGTGGAATTATCCTCCACTTGCCAGTTGTTAGAAATGTGATTTTATAAGTCAAATAAGACGAGCAAATCAAGGTCAGGAGCAACACTCGAACCGATGGGTACTTATTGTGCGTTCAAAAGCAGTGGGTTCTCTCACTCTCACTCACTGTGGGCCCGTGTGTATTGTTTTGGTTGTTTTGTTTGTGAACTTGGGTGCTTTGACTGCTGAGTCTGGGAGGCAAACAAAGCACATGCTGGACAATTGATCAATGATCTTCCAGAGTTCATGTAGAGGGCACATTGGGGGTTACCAAGGCTGGCTTATCCACCAAAGGCACAAAAGCCTCCTTTACCTGCTCCTGCCTATCCCACTGATGAGACACCAAACTAGGGTCAATGAAACCACCAACTAAAGATTGATCATCACAACATCAAAGTCACTCATGTAAATCCACCCTTTTTCAGACATCTGGGGTATTGATACAAACACTCCCGGGAGGAGAGTTGCTGGTTAGAAACCAATATTCTTCATGGGGGTGGGGGACGGGACTCTGACCCATCCTCTACAAAGACCTGTAAAGTCTGAAGAGCATTTTAGTGTGGATGGGTTGAAAAGTTTACCCACACCATCCTCTGCAGACTTGCCAGGTGAGGCTCTTATGCAACTCTCTCAAGTTCAAAACAGGTTCATTGTCCTCAAGTTATACTGAAGGAAACATCGAAAACTCAGCAGCTGTTTCTTCAGATAAACCAAATACCTGAAAGTAACTCATTGTTTCCAGTCGGGGTGAGAGTGGTCAATGGAAATATGATAAACAATGACACAAACAGCAAGTTCCCTTAACTTGGTGCATGACAGGCCTGACAGCCCCTCCCCCTTGTCCTGTCACTCTAGAGTATTTTAGTTCAAGTTCCACTGCAGCATCCGGCAGAGCTGCGGTCTCGGTTTCACCTCCCACTTCCTTTTTTTGGCCCTGACGTGTTTCCGGCCCCTGAATTAGAAAAACTCTTTCCACACTAAGTTGTGATATCAGGGCCGTCTTCCTTCTCTTGTCGCCCGTGTTCGGAAACTATTAAGAAATCCCCAGTGAAGTTGAACTCTATCTCCCGAATCCTTTGCTCCCAACCACGAGACCAGAGATACGGGGCGACATCAAAAACCCTTCAGCTAGAGCAACACGGAGAGGAAATATCTCTTGAACTCGACGATAAGATAGAAGCTGGTGCAAGCTTTGAAGAATTTCTGCCGTTTAATGCACGGAAAGCAGGGAAACAATACAAATGAAGAAACAGTTTAGTTGGTATAATTGTACTGTTGTATTCTTCTTCTGATAGAAGTATTTCAGCATCCGTTAGTCCTTGAAGTTCTGGGTGAGAAACTGCAAGGCAGCCACTGGTTCCCCAAGGTTAAACCTTTTGACGAAGGCCTGAAAATCCCATTTACCTGGAGGTGCAGAAGACACAAAACACAGATTTTCATTAGCATTTAAGCAAAAGAATTGAGAGAAAAAAAAAAACTTAAGGTTTGCTTTCAGTCCAGCAAAACACTCCAGAAATGAGCTGTACTCCGAGTGCACTCTCTGGTGCATTATGAGAGCATTTCTTCTGACCACTTGGTCTGTGTTTAAAGGATCTGAGGCCTAACTGAGCAACACATGGCTCTGGGATGTGAGTCACTGAGAACAGCTCTGCTGAAAATAAAACATGTTGCTGTAATGATGGAGGTGGGAACGCAAGGACGTATTGGCAAGATGATATGATTCAATCGCCTGGACTGTTTTTTTTCTCTTCCCTCCCCTTTTAAACAAACACCAGACGGCCATCCGGCTGGTATGACAATATCACTTCTAAGATTTTGACAACCACTGATTCCCTGCAGTTTTCCCTCCCTTAAAAAAAAAAAAAAAGAAATTCACAACTATGATTCCAAGAAGAAAACCCTGTGTGCTTTAAACTTGCAAACTTCAACAGATTCCACAAAGAAAGAGCGCGTGTCTGCATCTTCATATGTCTGCATGTGCATCAGACAATTCTTTGATGCTTTGTACTGTAATCCAGGGAATCGGGGACATTCTGGTATTTCCATGTGTGCGGTAATTAGACTAACAGCTGTTCAAGAATTGCCTTGGGAAGTTGAAAAAGCCAGCTTCTGAAATGGTCCAAATCCATAGAGAGAATGGACTCAAATAGGGTCAAATCTCAATATGTCTGGATTAAAAAACCCCAAACAAAAGTCATCTTTAACATTCTGCTTCATCTGATATATATATGGTGTCACTTTTTGGCCATCAGACAGCAGCATGCATTAGAAACGCACAATGATCAAGCATACAATTATAATCTCCGACAGGTGAAATGAGAGCCATTGATCATCTTTAATACCAAAATCTGTCAGTATTGAAGATTTTAGATGCTCTTCTACAAGTTCCTCCCAGTAGTTTGCTGGGCCTTATGGTTCATTCCTCCTGATGAGTCTGTTTGAATGCTGCCTTTCTCACACACAAGTGTGGTGGCTGCTATGGAAAACATTGACTTTGTTGTTGCAAGCCAATTTGGTTGAGGACATCATTTATTTGGAACATTAATTTTTAAGAAAGTTTGAAAGTTGGCCCAGGCTCAGAAATGTTACTGAAATATTTCCACAGGGTTTTCCTTTTTCATCACGTTACTTTTTGTGAAGTGCTCCAGTCCTTCCTGCATCAAAACACCTCCACTTCATGACTCAGCCACCCCCTACTTCACAGTTTGGATGATTACTTTTTCAGGCTTACAAACTTCCCCCTTTTTTTTCCTTCCAAATATAATAATCTTTATTTCTAGACACTAGTTTTTTAGTTCCATCAGACCACAGGCATGTCTAAAAAATTGTCCCATGTATTTGCAGACACTAATCTTGCTTTTTTAAATCTTGTTTTTAGAGAAATGGCTTCTTCCTCCTTGAGTGGCTCATGTCTACACTGTATGTAGGCGCTCTCATCAATTCAATTATTTCAATTCAGCAAGTTGAAATTACTTTGTTACTCCTGGCTTAAGATGGTATAAATTCAGTCTGATTTGATGTCAAACTCTGAAGGGAAAAAGATTGTCTTTGTGTAGAGAAATCTCAGGTTTAAACTATATTAAATAGCAACTGTACAGTAAGTCCTCAAAGTTGATGAGTTAGAAGCAGAATGTTAGAACAATGATTTGAGCAAATTTGACAAGTGTGACTATGTTACTGGCTACACGACTGCTTTAGAGCATTTTCAAAACTGCAGCTCTCCCTACTGGAAAATAGATTTGCAGACAGCTCACACAAAAACACACAAAAAAAATGAGTCCAATTTGAGCAGGCTGTGGCAAAAAAAAAAAAAAAAATCCAGAGCAGAAAAACTTATGGTTTTTGTTCTGTTAAGCAGATAGCAGCAGGTACAAACAAAACAAATATCCAGGTTATGGACAAATGAGCAAACCAGGCAGTGATACAAAACATCCAACCAATCAATAAAACTTTTAAAAAGGGCCATCATCCGAGCTGAGATTTGAAACAAAAGTAAAGATATTGTTTTTATTGTTGTTGCAACAATATCTGAACAAAACAAAATTCAAGCATCCCAATCCATATCACCAGTGAGGGTCACCATCTGTGAGGGTCTTGCGCTTTCAAGGTGTTGATCTAAAGTCACATCAGAATACTGACCCAACCACAATGGACCCACGATGATGCTTTTCCCCATTTAGAAGGTTTAGAATGGCTGCATCATTCTCAAATTTAATGAAATGCATTTTTCCTTGGTGAGACAGTCACTGGTTTACAGAAGTGGGATGGGAGAACAACCTTGTTGTGATTCTGGTCTGCATTACTCAGAATATGTAAAAAGAGGTTCAAAGGAAGACCGGCTGTGAGTCATGGACTCACTAATGCAAGTGGCGAGCAAAGCAGATTTGTTGCTAGGTCTTATTGGAAAAATAAGTTAATTCTGGTTCTGATGGAAAGGTGTCAGAATACACAATTCATTGTAGTTTGATGCTCCATAGCTCCAGGTTAGTAAGCATGCTCCTACTGACCCCTTGTTCTTCACTGAAGCAACATCTTTTAAAAAATATTAATATTGAACATGATTAAATTATACACAGGCATGCAAAAGAAACATGGACATACAAAATAAATATAAAAAACATTCAAGGGAAAGAAAGATGCAAAAGTTATTTTTCTATTTCCACATGAACCGTTGGCTTGAACTGATGGTGTAGATATGAAATAGCTGTAACAATGTCAGAGCGAGGCATCTGTCCTTTATTTTATTTGGTATTTATCTAGTGACTTCTATTGTTGTGTACTTTTACATCATGTTGATTGCTGGGTACATTATCTGAGGAACAAATTACACCCAGATGCACTATAGGTAGAAAAACCTTCTGCTGACATCTTGATGCCCAACACCGCAGCACACAGTCAGGAACCTTCTGGAGTCCATCCCTCCACAGGTCAGAAAAGAGTGTAATAACACACTGTTGGTCATAATGTTATGCCTGATTGGTGTAGCTCACCATTAACAAAGGCACAAATCAGAAGACTTAATTGATATTAGATATATTCTGCATGTTATCTTTTTAATGTAATCATTAATTGCTATAGAGAGCTTTGAAAAATAAGCAGAATTTGCATTGTGGAGCGATACCTAAACAATTTTTTTCCCAACCTGTCACACTTTTTTTTGTTTAGTTTCAAAACCTGACACTTCCATGTGGCTGTGAGTTCGGGTCAGGTTCTGAGCTCAGCTGGGGGAAAGAGGATGAATAATAACTGGGAGATGAGCAGATGAGTACCTGGATCTCAGCAGGTCATCTCTGTGAATGAAGACTGCCAGCAGGGAGGCCACCAATAATCATGAGAGGGCAATGGAGTCAAGTGACCTGTCTGCATTAAAGGGCATGGCCCCAGCAGACCCTTATGGGTCTGTGCTTCAGTCTCAGATAATGCACCGCCTCTGCAGATCCCCAAACTCCTCGGCATGTCCATGACGAGGTCGCTCACCCCCCCAGCTACTGCAGAAGGGGAGACAGCTCGGAGATGAACTTTACATAAAATACTGGGACATATCTGACATGTCATGTTGTAGATTTCGCTATTATGATAACGAAGCAAAAATACTTTTTCATCTGCGTTTTTGTTTGTTGCGGTGTTGGGCAACATGTTCTCTAAAAAGTACTGGAGTCAAAGTCAGGCAGCGATTGTAAGACTCTGCACACATAATCCTGTCTAAAGCTGTGCAATCATTGGGGCTCATTCCAAAACGAAGTAAATTCTCAGTACCCGCTGCTATCGCGCTGGTTGGTACCTTGCGAATGTCTAGACTTACAAGTGACCCTAAAATAGGCTGGTGCTTGTTTGTAGTGCAGAGACACGTTTCCGCCTCTCCCATCTGCACGCTCATGGAAAGGACAGATAGTGTGGGACCTGAGGGCGATGTTAACGTCTTCCTGCCTCTCCTTTTGTTTCCACCTTGCATCTCTGCCTGGGTATGGCAGAAAGATCAGGACTGCTGCGAGGTGACAGAGAACTGCTACATTTAGTGGTGTGGGCGGTGTCCCTGTTAAACCTCTTACACTGTCTCAGATATACTCAAAATCCAGTAATCTTTTTTCTCGCAGTAAAGTCAAAGGAGCCATATCAGAGTAAGAGCCTGACTGAGGTTCTTCTTATGAAAATAGATGCAGGAATATTGCAGTGTTTATTTTCAGGATGAGGAACTTTGTTGCTGTCGGGATTCAGCCATAAGACAATATCTCTGGATGTGTAGAAAACCGCTGGAGAGGGATTAACCTGGGAAAACTCAACATGTCTGTTGATTTTAACTCTCAATGTGTTGCCAGTTTAATGCTGTAGATTATTAGATCTGCGAGGTGAACAAGTCTAATTTTCCAGGGAATACCCAAATCACCAAACTTAAAGTTGTTTTTACATTAAAAAAAACCTAAACATTGCGCTGGTCAATATGAACCAGCATAGGAACTCAAAAATTCAACTGTTGCATAAAACTAAGCGAATAAGGATGCATTTTCCATTATATCAAATTGCATTTAATACAGTACTTAGAACATTAGTGCAATTAATGGCAATAGTACTCGTTTAAATAGTAAAAACTGAAATAAAGCTTTATTTTTTTAGTACACTTACGATTTTCCCAAGTTTCTCATTTTGAGATAATTCAAATGAAATAAATGATCAATTAATGTACTAGCAAATGTGTTGCATGTGCACGATTTGTATTGTAACTGTGTAGCTGTGATCTTGTAGTGGGCTTGCAAAAAAGACAAACCTAGTCAAATAAAGTTTGGTGGATTCTTAAGCAAACGTTAGGTTGTCTTCCCTGGGTTTCCTAACTACTGCAGGTTGTCTTTGAAAGCCTTTCCTCAACAGATCTTATCACTGAAAGATGCCAATCAGGAAATTTAAATAGATCTGTGCACAACACTTGCAATTGTCAACAAGTGCATCTCACCAGAAATGGAACTAGGAACACAACGTTCCTCCAAAACTGATAGGAAACGCAGAGACGAGGCTGCCAGGAGGGCTATGGCAGCACTGAAAGAGCAGCAGGACTTCCTGGCAAAGACTGGCTGTTCATAACATTTGACAACAATCTCTAACATGCATTGTATGTCTGGGCTATGGGGCAAATTTTCAGAACCAAGTTGTCTTCGATGAGAAAAAAAAATCCACCAGAAATGCTTGAGCCCTGCTAGAGTGAAAAAGATCAATTCACTCTTGGCGACATGAGATAAACATTCTGTGCAGTTTTGATGACACCAAAGATGCAGCCTGAGCTACAACAAAGCAATTTCGATCGAAGGATATTCATGTGTTCTTCTAGTGATCCAATCAAATCCCAGCTCTAAATCCAACTGCAAATCTTAAAAATTTATATTCACGGACTCACACAGACATACTGAACAAACTACAGGACAATGTTCATGTAGAGAGACTGAATACAGATGTTTGCCACATTTGTCAAATTTTTATTAGCAAAAATAATACTAATAAAGGAACATGCAATATTTTCTTTTCACAACTGCACATTACTTGTTCAACTATCTCATTAAATCCCAGGAAAAATAAAAATTAAATGAGAAAGAATGCCTTCCAGGGCACCCTAAAAGCCACAAAACTGTCATTTTAAAAAAGTTAAGTTTAACTTGTAATACACTAGTAACCCATTTCCCCATGTTTTTAGTGTATGTGATTTAATCTTGTGTGCCATTTTCTCATTTGAAATACAAGTGAAAGTTCTGATCTGACCTCAAATGGTCAAATTTTATCAGGGATGCACACATTTGTGCAGATCAGCTATAGTGAAATTATGTCCTTGCTCTTAAATGCAAGTGTTAAAAAAAACAGATAAGGATTACTCTATATGCTTTCGATAAATGTTTCAGATCAAAGTTGTGAGTTGAAGGACTTAAAACCTTTAAACCAAACCTGTCAACTTCAAGATGTCACTTTAAAGCAGCTGACTCCAGCCTAAAACTTGGGCCTGCTATAGCAACCAAATCCTGGCTCTCTTGACTCCTTGCAGCTCTGATTAATGGTAGAGGCTGTGGGTGGGTGGTAGACATGGATCTGCCCATTACCACACTACAACATTGCAAATGGCTTCAATTACTGCAGAGTGTGCTGAGCTGGCAGTACAGGCTCTGAGAAGCAAGATGAGCAACGTGTAGGATCCAGCAGCTAACTCCTCTCTGATCCATTCTTTTATACAACATGATCGTCACCCTTGTTTTTACAATCCATCAGAAATAAATGAAGTAAAAAGCGGCTGCGGGATTCAAAGCGATGTATTATTTATAAGTTTCTATTTTTTCCAAGCAAATAATCTCAAACAGTTTTTGAGACGGTAGATCTGCACATTTAGAGTGGCTGCTAAGGTCAGGAGATGGACGGCTGGATGTGTGAACAGTGTATGCGGAGTGTATCGTGTAAACTGAAACACTAGGCAGCCGCTCTCAAGGCCTCGGGTTTTCCCTCCCGGCATTGTAACACTGTTTCCCCCGACAAACTGACATGTCGGCACCAAACAGTAGCAGGACATAATAAGGGCTTGCCAAGTGCCTGACAAGTATCATGAGGGCCTAAGCGCCCACGCCTGCGCCCCCGTCTCCACCCCCCACCCTGGCACAGGGGCAGTCTCCAGTCAGGGACAGCGTTCCTGAGCCAGAGCAATGGGGATTCCCTAGGATAACGCCCCTGTGCCCAGTGCCAAGATTGCAGCCCCCTGTAGATCCTTATGTAACAAACCAGCTGTCTCCATCAGTTCACTGACCCACATTCATAACCTTAACCCTGGAGGCAAAGCAGACTCCCACGGTTTCTCACAACAGCCCCTGCTCCACCTCTAATTGTTCAGTCTCCTCTGGCCAGTGCTTATTACTTAACTGATGGTCAGAGATGAAAAGAAGAGAGACGGCAAATCAGAAATAAAATTGAGTCAATGACTCCACTACTGGAAGTGGAAAACGGTCATTAGGAGTCCTCCACCCACGACTAAATGCTCTCCTTCACAAATCACGTCAATTAATGTCATCGGTTATGAAGAATCCTCTGTGTGTCATACCACATGGAGGGAGGACAGATGCTAATAAGTGAACATACTTAACGGAGGAGGTGGGAGACATGGGATTCCCTCTGTTCTTCTTGTCTTGGTGTGCATACTGCGCACATGGTCGTGGAGGCTAATGACAATACAGCAGGTAAAATAATAGAAAGATGCCTTCAAAACCAAATACAGGTGCATCTTGTTGGGATATAATTGAAAAGTTAATTTGTTTCAGCAGCTTTATTCTAAAAGTAAAACTTGGGTAGTTTATCAATTACACTCAAATGGACAAGTTTCAAAAGTTTATTTCTGTAAATTTGATCTAAGAAGAAACAATGTATGAGTTTGTAGGCTTTAGCTGGTATTTTTTTTTACCATCTGTACCATGATTTACGACATCCATAGTCATCCCTGTACCAAAGTCTTCTGTAACATCTTGTCTTAATGGTTACTGCCCAGCCACACTCACTCCTGTCTCTACAAAGTGCTTCAAAAGGCTGGGGACGACACATCGGAAGCAAACCATCAACGTAGCTGAGGACTCACAATATTACGTATAGAGGTGGAACCGGTTCACACAGACTCCATCCTGGTCCACCATGCCCACTCCCACACAGAGAATAAGGACTCCTATGTTAGGCTGAACTTCAGTTCTGCATTTAACACCATTTTCCCACCAGAAACTGGTGTCCAAGTTGGCTAAACAAGAAGTACCCAATGCGTTAAGATTGACTTAACAAAAGCAATGCCACAGTAGTTATCAATTTTCTTGATATACAGTGCTCTTAAAGTAAACACTCCAGCTGCACTCCATATCTGGTGAAATTGCCACAAACCCTTAAATGAGCTTTGCACTTTTTCTTTCCACTCAGCTTTCCGGCAATATGTCTCTTATCCACACTTTGAACAACCAGCGTCTTTTTAAAATGCCGTCTTTGGCTTTCCAAAGCATAATAAAGACTCTTTTCTGGACAGTAAGCGGTCACCAATATGATTGTGTTATTTAGAAAAGTCTCTTTCAAAAGTGTTGCATAGTAAAATTTTCTGGCAAATTACATTTTTGAATTTCACCAACACTATAATTAAATGATAAACCTATACGAGTTTCATATTTTGAATTGAATCATTAAAAATAATTTACCTTTTTAATGATCTGAGATGTGTGTGTAAAACATGAGTTACCTTTATTTCTCAACATCCAATCCCATCGCTCTCCTCATATGGACAGTTATTCTCTCAAGAACAAACCCTTCAAATGAAACATTTGATTATCCAAGAGTGAATTCCTTAATTAAATTTCCCTTGAATAGATTTTGCAGGAGAGAGGAAGTGCGACAACAGGAGTTAAACTCATCCAGTAGATTAAGGATGGGTGGATCCGCTAACTGCAATTGCTTCAAAATTGGGGTGGTGGGTAATTGGAGGGTGGGGGGGTGTTCAGACTATTTGTATTTTTTCTTTTATGGCAAACATTATATTTGAAACATTCTATTTTAACAATGTGATGAAGGTTTACCGGAAATTACCCAAATGTGACTTGGGTGTAGCACAAATACAAAAAAAAAAAAAAAAAAAAAAAAGTTCATCTGTTCTGACATTTCTTTTCCCAAAAACTTTAAACATCAAACACACCTCAGCCTAATGTGCTTGGACTGTTTGCTGACAAAGCTGTCAAAACTTCAAACAGCAGAGACTGGCAGCTCCACTTGTTCACCGGCGCCGCGCTTGAAAGTCTCCAACCGCCCTGATCTCCCCTCAAATCATCGACTGTGACCCGAGTAGAACAGACAGGGAGACACGCCTCCTGCGAGCTGCTGTGCTGTTCATCTGAGAGCTGCTTCGCACCTTCCCACTGACTTCAGACGGTGGAAAAGTTATTTTCGAACAAGAAAGAAAACAAAAGCTCTGCAGCACAAACAAGACTGACTTCTGAGAGACAAACAAAGATATGGTAATGATATCAACAATAATTAATGTTCAAATTGAACCGTACGTTCATGTGTACCGACACCGCTGAGTGGGGATTTCAGGTTTGCCAACACACGGCCAGGCGGACTCATGCAGGTGTGCGTGGGAGCCGGTAATACTCGTCTTGACCTGGTGGGCATTAGCACAGCTCAGACTCGCTCACTAACCTCATTAACATTTTCTTTGTCGGGGTTCATGCACTCGAACAAAAACTGCCCACCAAAAATAACTCCAAGTGATGCAATAAAACCTTACAGTTGTGAGAACAGACAAAACAAGTCCACTGATGTGTCTGATCCACAACGTTTCTTTCATCAAGGGAAAGAGAGATTTGTTGTGGTTACCATGAGAGAAAATGAGTTTGAATGTCTTGCTGTAATCTTCAGCAACAAAACGTTAGAATTTACAGTCATTGTAGATAACATTTCTGCGATCTAAAGATGCAGAGTGATTACCTCGGGAAGACTCCTTTTCAGTGAGTGATATCTTTGTGTGAGGAGGCTGCTCAAATAACATAAACTGGTAACGGTGGAAACCAGTCTTCTGCGGCGGCGTCGGTGGATTGTAATCTGCAAAACAAAGAACCAGAATCAGGAGAGCTGGCAATGCTGAGCTGCTGTATCGACTATAAGTCATTAAAAACCCTGGCATGGATTGCCTTTTTTTTTTAGATGGCATTACACTAATAGCAGCCATATAGTCATAAAACTCTGACCCTGAATTGTGTGCAATTTTCTCGTACTCGTGTTTTGGCTAATGGCCATGTAAATATTCTCATATACATGTGAGTGCATTTAAGAGATGTTGCTCGATTAATCTATTTTAAAACACAAAATAATAAGTTGAATCTAAATCTACTTTAAAGAATGGTTAAAAAAAGCAGCAAATAGCTTAAGCATATGTATTTAAAAATCATAATAGTTTATGACTGTCAAACTTCCTGTTACTACAAATAAAATCACCAACCATTTCATCATTCAAAAATAATGTAGAAGCATTAAAAAAAAGACATGATTCCCGTATCTTGTGCAATTATTTAATTTAAATATTTAGGATATAATGAATGCTACATATACAGAGAGTTGTAGGAATGCTACAACTGCAGCTCAAAAATATAAATTTATTTTTCTGATTTAGTTAAAAAAGCTTTAAACTGATAAAAGAAATAAAACAATAAAACACATTGATATTTTTCAAACAGAAAGGGAGTGGTAAGCTAATTATTTTGTTCTTTGTTATGTGAGCACATTTTCTCTGTCCTTTTTTTGTTGTTTTTAAAAACCAGTTTTAAATAAATCAAATCAAGTGTTTTTTTTTATTTTACAATTAAACCCCCAACTATGCTTACTAAAAAAAAAAAAAATAAATGGAAAACAATTTTACTTCAGACATGTTAACCCTACAGAAAGTTATTTTCCATGTTCTGTTCAGAATATGCCCTCAGTGGAACACCAGCAGATGCCATGGCTCGCCAAATCATCACTCACTGTGGAAACGTCACACTGGACATCAAGCAACATGGATGAACTTTGTGAATGTCCCTCAAACTCCTGAAAGAATTTCACTTCATAATTGTTTCAAGGCATTGGCTACCTGTGTTATTTTTGTCCATTTTTTCTTGGCTTTTACTTGATTTTTGTTCTTCTTGGCATTATTATTGAATTATATTTTTGTTAGGGTTATTGTACACAACTTTGATAAGCTATGTTTTTTTAAAACATGTACAAATAGTCTTGAACTGATTTCCACTAAACCTTTTTTCTTCCACTTAACTTTCCACTTTTATCGTTAGATATAGAATTCGGTGAATAGCCAGCTTCTTTCTTGCGGGTCATCATTCGGGCAGAGGTTGTCAATGATTGTCAAGTCAGCAGTCTTCCCCATTATTGTGTAGACCAGGAACTGAACTAGAATCTCATTTAGGGTTTTTATGAACTGTAACCCACAAAATTCATTAATAGAAGCTTTAGATAATCCGTTTCCTTTACTTGAATAACTGAAATGGATTCATTTTTCCAGTCTTACCACCAAGAGTCATTCCATGCATTTTTCCTTCCGCCAGCGAGTAGCCCTGGTAAAGCAAGCACATCGTCAGTCAGGCAAATCACAAACAAAAAGTGTTCCTACAAACTAACACTAAATGATGTTAAATGTTTGAAATATAAAAATTAGTTACTCAAAGCTTTTCTGCAGAATAGCATCACAATTTGTTTGGTTAATTTAAGTCAAACACACAAGAGATGTTGTTAAATCAATGTCTAAAAATTAAGGAACAAACTGCAGACAAAAGACAGTTCCCAAGCACATTAAACCAGTGAGAGGATTTCCAATTTCCCATATTATTAATTGTATATTAATCTCCTGTTGCCTAGAAACAGACATCTTATTACCATATCAGAAGCTCAGGTAAATTTCATAAGCCTTTAGATTTTTTTTTTTTTACTATGCATTTGCCATGTTGAACTCCCTTTTTCTCAGGAAACACACAGAGAGTAAGGCCATTCACACAGCAAAAATTACACACAGACACGTTTGTTTAATAAACTTGGGTATTTACTACATGATGGTTGCATCCTTGAGTGGGAGGAAAATGACTAAATATGTTGTCTGTGAAATGGCCCCAAACCCACTTGAAGCAAGAATGGAAGTCCCCATCACAAACGAGGAGTGTGTGGTCTGAGCACCTATTAGTGTATTCGTTTCTCTGCACACAGGCGCCCCCTACAGGGGAACCAAGGTGGTGTGTTACTAGACAGCAATCTGGGACAAAAGATGGACTATAAAGGAATGTTTCCCTCGTTTTTCTTCCATTGAAATTGACATTTCGGTTTACTTGACTTCAAATCAAATTGAACATAGTTTATATGCGAACAGAAATATTATTTAGCTTCTCTTAAAGTAGATGGACTAAACAAACTAATATTACAGTATGTCGACTTAATCATTTTGGTAATGGAGCAACCACGTTTATAATTTTTTTTAGGATTAATGATTGTACATATTTGTAAAGATAAATACATACACAAATTGAAACATTTCTCATGGAAAATTTATATTTCATAAATTTTTATTTTATGATTTCGAATCACATTTTGTACAGAAGACAAAAATATGATTTTGGCAGATATGAAGACATCATGACACATGCAAAAACCTTGTATTAAGAAATGTACAGTTGTAATTCAGTTTCTTCCAAATCTATTGGCCGTATAACTTTGATCAACATCAGCACAGCTCAAATCAGCCTGCAAGTGTTACTGAGGATTTCATCAGTACTCCAGCATGTGCCCCTCATTGTGCTCCATCTTATCTATAATCCCATAACGGCTGTTGAGGATGTTTCACAGAAAGTATTAAGTGTTTACTCCGACTGATACAATTCAGAAGATTAGCTTCAGCTGTGAGTATCTTCATCCACAGATCAGTGCGAAAAAAATAGCTTTATTTAGAAACAGCAAGAGTCCTGCTGCCTGCAGGATCCAAACCCATTGCCATAGCAACAGGTAGTCAACATTTTCCCACATCTTAATGCTCAGCTCTCGCTCGTTTTCCCTGGCACCCCTTGGCCTTTTAATTTCAGTAAAGAACACGGAGTTTAAATAACAGCAAATGAATACAACATCAAATTTCTGCCAATTAATAGAAGACAAGTCTATAGCAGGCAGCAGAAATGCATCTTTACTTATTCTGATAACCATAAGACTTCAAAATAAATTGCAGAAAATGTTGCATTTGATTTATGTTTAGCCAAGCTTGATTTCAGAGTGACCGACTCTGTAAGACATTATGATTTCATGGGTGATGGTCTCTGGGGTCTTCGATGTTGGGTGCAATATTCCCAAAGTCTAAAAATCTACTTATTTGTTATTCATATTTAAAACAAATGTCATTTTTCATTCATGACTCAGGTATATGGATATAATGTGTGTGCATAAATTTTAGGCTCAAAATATATCAATGAAGGGCAAGGCCATTAATTAAAATTCATACTTAAAAATGATTACCCAAGTTATCAGTCATGCAGACTATTACACTTTAAATGTGTTGTGTTCTTTGTCTTAAATGAGCTATTTAAATACAACTGATTTTATACATGTTGAAAAAAAAAATGGAGGCAAAACAAACAAATGGGCTCTAAAATAACCCAGGTCACAAGGCAGAAAAGATAAATACAGATTTTTACACGTCAATAATAAAGAAAAACTGGCTGAGACATTCTCACTCCATCTTCTCTTCACCATCTGATTACTTCATGTTAAAAAACCCAGACACACCCAGACATAAATGGGGTGGGAGGAATTTTCCTCTAAAATGAACAACAGAGAGTTTTTTTGCCAGTGGGAGTAAAGTTGAAGATAATCTTTTAAAGTGATCTTTATGGGTCTATTGTGTAAAAAACAAAAAAACAAACCTAAAACTAAGCAAGCAATTATGGAAAACAGAAGAAGACCACCGGCTCAACACCAAGCCTGGAACTCATCATGCTCTGCAGTTCCTGAGACTAATAGTTTTGTTTTGGCACCCAAACAAATCTGCTATGATGTGCAAACCATGTTTTCCCAGGACAACATCTGATTTGACAAATAAGCTGAATGACTGAACATCCCTTCAGCAATCGGTGAGAAAACGGTTTCATTTCGTATGTAACAAAAACAAAGTAAGCAAAGTCTTTTCAATTTCAAATCCTGCACATATTTTTTTTTTGCACCTACATCTATTTCCAAACTCACTCCTGCCAGGCTGTTGAATTGATCCTGTTTGAGATTCAAGAATATCTATTGCTGGACTTGTACCAAAAGCAAAACACCATCCTGGAATATCTCAAAAGGGCTGAAAACAAAAGTTGTGAAGCAGTGTGTCTCGGGCCTTGGACACCGTAGGGCAGGTTTCAGGTCTTACATTCACATTCATTGTTTTACACACAGCAGTCTGCTGCCAAAATATGTGATAAGTAGCAACAGCATCAATGCGCTTTACCGGTAAATTGTTCAAACACTGGGACTTGAGTGAATAAATGAAGATATGGCAAACATATGACACAAATATGTTTGAGAACAGTTGGCACACAGCAGAGGCCAACTGGTATCGTAGTTGTCTTGCAATTCAAAGTTGTAGAAATGATTTCAGTTTCCTCCAGTCACGTTGATGTGCCCCTGGTTGCCCATTGATTTGTGTATTGGTGTATAAACATGTGCATTTGTGAATGTAAATGGGTGAAGGTGCATGTAGTGCAAAGCATTTGAGTGGTCAGTAGGACTGGAAAGGAGCTATATAAATCCAGAACATTTACACGGATTTAATCATGTTTTATATGTAGAGCAAACTCACCTATTCATGATTTGTTTTGCACAGAATATCTAAAATATTTAAAGAAGATGTAGCTTGAGAAGCTGAAATACCCAGACGCAATGCTAATTGACACACTACTGAATGGTCTTTGGAAAGCTGCCAATCCAAGAGTGTCGTTTGTTTTGTTTTTTTTTTTGTTTTTTTTTCTTAGTGCTGATTGGTTGTGCTCCCAGGAGCAGAGATAAGGAAGTTGATGCTCGCTTCTGCAATACTGCCAAAAACAGTATCCAAAGTCTGCATTAACACATATTACAGTATGTGCTACAGCTTTTAAAATGGAGGGAGTCTTTTGTATTTCATGATCTCAGCTATTCGCAGTCGATTGTGGTCTCTAACCCCTGAAGATACCAAGGCTCCACTGTACCAGGATGAAGGGTACAAAAATACAGGGGTTGAGAACATTACATTTACAAAAATGTTACAGTCCAGTTTTATTTGTTATGATCTCAACATTAAAATTCAATCAGTTTTACACACTCCAAGTGCGCCCAAGTGTTTAAAAGCCACATTAATCAAAATGCAGGCTGGGCTGTTGTGACTTGCAGCAGACCTCAATATTTTGTATCCACTGAGCTGACTGCAAACAGAGAGTCTACTTAGTGTAGCAAGAGAATAAATAATGCTATAATTGGGTTGTTTCTGCAACGATTAATAGCACTTGCTGCTGATTCTCTGGCACTGGCATGTACATTCGGTATATGTGGCATTTTGCCACTGATTTTAAACGTGATCAGAGGGGATTAAGCTTAAACTGTAAGTTTGCATCGACACTGGAAAAACTGGGATCTAGTTGCTCTATTTTCACCATTGAAAAAGCGGCTATGCTGGGCTCAGCACACTACAACAGGAAGCATGTTCATTTGGAAATTGCCTTCGAGATGACAAAGCTCTTGCAAGCTGTTGTACATCTGACCCAGACCTCTGAGCCGCTTGAGATGAGCAATCATGGAAAACAGTACCATAGAGTCAAATATGAAAGAGAGCATTACAAAAAAAAAAAAAAAAAAAAAAAAAAAAAGAGATTGGATCTATGCTTTGTGGGTTATTCTAAAGATTTTCTTTTCCCAAAAGATCCATTTTTCTTAGTCTATATTCTGTTTAGTGTAGGTGCAGCCTGTTCAGATCCCACTGTTGTGTCTCCAGCTGTGGTGTTGCACATATTTCATCCTGCCTCTGTTGCTCATTGCGGCAAAGCTTGCTTTTATGTCTTACTGACCGTTTCACACTCTGACTTGAACAAAGGTACAAGATCTCAAACAACCTACACAATATGAGCAATGAATAATGCCGAAAGTCTAGAAAAAGCTACATGGCTGGCAAGCCTTTTTTTTGTGGGTCACATAACATCCCGACACTGTATTCATGAGCAGTTTCAGGACCAATACATCAGATATAATGAGTAAGATTTCTAGGAACATAATTTATGACGGGCATAAATTATGAGGCACGCACAGCTATAGTCTTTGGGTGGCTAGTAAGATAATGTCTCTTCCTGTATGAAAATAAACTAAATACGTTACATGACTTGGTAAAAAGCCTCAATCTGAGGCCGGAGGATGAGTGGTGTGTTTGTATAATGTGTCAACATAACTTCCGTTAGGAATCCTCCGACACGAGCCAGTAGGTAGGAGTCCACGAAGAGGCGGTGGGTGGGTGCAGGGGTGCGATTTCAGCAGGAATACCCACTTGCCCAAGAACCCTTCTCTTTCTTTGTGTGGGTGC